GCTTACAGTGGAGCGTCCGAGGCGCATAGCGCCGGAGGAGGGGCAGGAAATTGCTGAAAAATCTCTCGTATTCTGGGAACTCGTTTTAGTCTGGTTATATACAAGAAACCCTGACTTTTTATATGAATACCATTGAATTTTGTAATTCAATAGGTATTTTTTTTATTTACATAAACCTTCGAGATTGTTCAATAAGTGTAGACGTAATAAAGCAACACTATTTTAATAGTCTAAAATCTTCAAGAAGATATTTTTTATTACTTTCCTTTTTATGATTGATACGGACGGTCTATATCAATCATTAAAAAGAAATTTTAGTGCATGCTTGAGCATACAAGCGTATATGTATGCTACGCCACTGTTGAGTCAAGGGAAATAGCTGACACGGCACTAAGTGACTCCATGGTGTATAATACAAAGCGAATATGGACAGATTTGTTTTGGGTATCGGCCTTCACTTCAATTCATTTTACACTCTATTGAAGTGCATTAACTCGGTGGAACTCAGTGTTTGTAAAATATCAATATACAAAAATTGAAGGAAAATCCTCGGACCTGCTAGTAAAAGTCTGCATTGAATCCAGACAAACTTTGCTTTCAGTCATACATGGCGCAGTAACACATAACTCACTAACTGATGCTGACGGCCAGCTCTCAGAACGCCAAAGAGAACAAAGGAAAAGACGTAGGACACTTAAATCGTATACAACAGACAGACAAAAATGACTCGCGTCATTTATCTGTACTGGAGTATTCCTATCGGTCTATTGCATTTCCCCCAAAGTATGCCCACCTGTTTTATTGTCCAGTGTATCATGTGCTTTATTTTATCTTCAAAGATATAAATACATATACCGGTATATGTAATGACCCGTAGAATACGGGCAGTAGTAGTATTGATATATATTTGGTAAGCGCTAAATATAGAAAAGGCCAAGGTATTGCCATGGATACATTATGTAACTTCTTAAAGAATAATGTCCACGTGCACAGCATCACCTCATCACCACGTTGACCAATGGTCGCGTAGGCTAATGTTAGCACCTATAAATACTGGGGTGATCTATAACGCAAAGCACACACTACTATTAGGGAGAGTTATGTTTTATTAGAAGTCTTATACATGTAGTCTTGCTAGTTTTAGTGATATTCGTAAATCTATTAGAATGGAGACTGAAAGTGGATGATGTGTGAAAGAACTATAAAGGAAACGTATGGAGTACGGGAGATAAATGAACCTGTTGTGAACCGTGTATGGGTTACTGTGAACTTTACATGCTGGAGTTAATACATATTTGAACTTTATTTCTTGTGTCTGTTCTCTATCGCACCACAATTCCATCCCATGACAAACTCGACGCCTCCTATCCCAGGAGAGAGCTTACATTTACTGACTAGCCTATTATCAGTATGGTACTTGAGCTCAACAGGCCATTAAGGTCAGACTGTACTTGACTTGGTATCATCTGGTGTATTTCTGTTAGTTTCATAGAGGCTTTTACTATGGGGGAAAATAAATGGAAACATTACTTTTGGTTTGTTTGTGTTTTACGTCCTATTAACAGCTATTTATATGGTCATTTAAGGCCGTGCCAAGTTTTGTTGGCGGAGGAAAGCCGGAGTTCAGGAGAAAACCAATCTACCTAAGACCAGTACCTGATGACTGCCCCACGTAGGCCTCGGAACCCAAGGGCTAGTGGAAGCATTCATATCAGGTAAACAAAAACATGCTGTAAAAATAAATACACACATCTTTATATTTAAGACATTGTATTATTTTTAAAATCTCCAATTTAAAAGTACTTTGTATATAGAAACGTTTTTGTCAATTGAGTACATAGGGTTATAACATCACAAGTACCCATCAATTTGAAGAATGCCTCTCTTTTAAGACAATGCCTCAATAATTCAATTACAATATACAGCCTTGAATAAAACAAAATTATAAAAAATTATAAACATTTCATAGTGAGAAATCACATTCACAAAACACATAAATATATCGGTAATCTCAATTTGTATTGTTAAAAATAAATAGCACACATATTTACCTAATTATTTACATACAAAGGAATGTTGATTAAACCAGTTTTGGATGTCCCACTTTTTGACCTGTCCATTAGTTCACAGTCCATCTACAACTAAATCATCAACTTTGTTTGTTTGAGACCCATTGTCATTTTGTATAAATGTTTCTCTCTTTCACGAGGAAATTAAAAAATATATGCATGCAGAAATCGCACAAAAGATAATTTGCAAAAATATAGAAAAGTTTACCAAAATTTGGTGTCATTTCGAAATTTTTGTGGTGTCATTTTGTAAGGTTAAGATAGTCATGTTGAATTAGGTCAAGATTAAACAAAAGTGAATTTCATTTTAATGCATCAACCTCTCAACCATCAAGCTAGTCATCCTCCTGGATACAACAGGGGTTATGCTCACTTCACTTTCTCCTCTCTTTGAATATGTCGCAGCATATTGAAGACAAATGGCTAGCTATTTGATTGGTCTCAGTAAAAAAACAAAAGACTGACCGAAATCGCTAGGTTGATACCTGTCCTTTGAATATCACAGAAGCCAAGTCAATTTAACCCTTTCACCACTGTAGACCATGATGGACTCATCCAGATCAATGCATGGTAGAGTCTACTAAAGTTGCATAGGGGTGAAAGGGTTTACATTTCGCTTTTGTGAAATTCTTTTGATGTACATCAAAGAATCAAAGTTGTATTTTCGTCTCTTTCACAAGGTGGCGTACACCGAGCCTTCATGATATATTCTAGGGGTGTAGGGAGCATAAATGAGCTTAACCCCTGGAGTAGGGAGGATTGGTAGTCATTAATTCTCAAAATCATTTTGGAGATTTTCAAACCTGTGCATTGGGGGGTCATGAGCAAAGATTTTTTGTATAAGCATTTTATATTTTATTCTTGAAAAATGATGATCTGTTTTGCCTAACCAAGGGAAGTAACCAGAAATACATAGGTGGATATTTGTTAATGTTTTCTTCTTCGATTTTACAAAACACTCTTTATATAAAATAATTTTCATCGTTACTGATTTATTGTATTTGAAAATAAAAATTGAAAACATCAAACATCTACATTGATAACGAAAAATGAGAGCGAAGAAAATCAAATATTAAACTTTTTTTGTTTTGTTTTACATAATGGTGGCACTCTTATGTTAACAAATAGCTTTATACTGGCAAGTCACTTACTTGGTAACATCAAAATGAAATAGGAACAAGTTAATTAAACAATCATTTTATGGTAATTGAACAATTAAAGTAGACAGTAAAACCAAAGTCGATTTCTTCAACCTCACTTGAAATATCAATAAACCCCTTTACAATGCCAATTTTCGCTGTACATATGATGGCAGTATAACAAGGTTTTACTGTACATGTATCGGTGTAATTGTGATAGAAAGAGATCAGAAATTTTCATTTTTATTGCACAACTATTTGAAAGAAGTATAGTATTCACATCCATATAAAATATACACAAACATGTTTATGTACATACTAATATTTTTTTTAAATCACCGAAATACACAATCACAGGGTAAAATAAACTGTTTTAATCCCATTACACAATCACAGTGAAGCTGACTACATCTGAATAAAGTGTAGCATCATAACTCACATAGTCATATTTCTGCTGTATTTCTATAAATGGAAAAAGTTGAAACTACTTATTTGTTATTACAGATTGGTATTCCTGAGATAGGTTTAAAACACGGGTTCACACTGGACATGTTTATAGGAAGCACATCACACTTAATTCTTAACTTCTCTATCAAACAAAATATAAATGATGAGGGATATATTTTTTTTTTCCTGTGGGCAACTTGTGTCCAATCTGAGTGAACAGGGTCTTTCTAAACTGGTCTAGATATTGTACATCTTGGGGAAATCCCTGATAAAAAGCATCTCTGGCAACCATTATGTTACTGACACTATATATCTGTATGCGAAACAGAAGAGAAAAAACCTGAAATAGCAACTTTTGTTATTTAAATAATCAATTAGAAAAATCTATGAAAATTAAATCTTGCACTTAATTTATTATTTTTTGTTATTTAATTTTTTTTTATATTAAACTAAAAATTTCATTAACCCTGATGTTTTTCCAGATTCCTGATATTTCTTGAAATCTATTATGTCTAAATTAACAATGTAAAAAAGCAAATAATATTTTTTTTACACAACTCTAGACGATTAATAAACCATTTCACCTAAACTGCAACTACTGCAGATTAGAACCTCAATCAGGACAATGAAAAGCCAAAGAATCAAGGAAATTGCAATTTCATAAAAAATACTTTTTACATACAAAAATTTGACTACTAGCCAGATAATATTCCAGGAGTGAAATCGTAATCGTAAAATCATTTCATAAAAGTGAAATTACATCTTGTGCCATAAAAACATCCATATTTTTATTGCATTTTTAAATAAACTCTACTTTCATAAAGTCCCTTAAACTGACACTTTTTTCGTAGCAAAAAATTTGTATAAGAGGTTTTGTGAAAAACAATGGAGATGTATAAAGGCAAATTTCACAAAATGAAAAGTGTGACTCTGATACATTGATGGCAAGGGAGGTTTTAAATATATCAAGGAGTATTGTATTAAGGTAAAATCTGTAGTACAAAGATTCAAGATCAAAGTCATGCAGTTTCATAGTCAATAACTCACAGCTGATTGTGACATCTAAATAGAAACGTCATTATATTGCACTGATGATGGTGGTTGAACAAATATTTCTACAAGTCACTGTAGAAAATTGTCAGTTTTATTATACAACTATTTTACCAATTGTCTGGTAATAAATAAAACATAACAAATATGTCATTATCTAATGGACCGAATATATATTAACAAAAACAATTATTGGAACAAGTTTTGATCAAAGGCAATTCATAAAAATAAATCCTGAATATTTTTAATTTTAACAGGTAGACTCTTCACTGGTAAATATAAAAAAAATATTCGATAAGAAAAAATAAATTTGAATGCAAGTGATAGTTTTAATCTCAAAAAAATAAATTTAAACATTAAACAAGCTTCGTTGAATATTTTGAGGTATACAATCTAAAACACTTGTTAAGATGAGGGAGCTCAGGTCTATTTACAATAAGATGAAGTCAAGAAGATTTTATGATTAAATGAACATGTTCTACACCCTAGTTTAAGAATGAAAAAATATATGATACTTCAATGAAGCAGAATAAAACATTTCAATGACAATAAATAAAACATTGAACTGAGGCAGAATAAAAGGTTCAATGTAGCTGATCAAAACATTTTAATGATGCAGAATAATATCTTTCAGTTTAGAAGAAGAAAGCACTTAAGAGAACAAGCAGAATAAAACACTTCAGTGAAGCAGAATAAAATACTTCAGTGAAGCAGAATAAAACAGTTGAAGTTTGTAGACCAAAACATTTAAATGTAACAGAATTAAAAAATATTAATGAGAAAAATAAATAAATATTAGTTTTGTTCACAAAATTAACAGATATGACAAATAACGGTTACATGTACTTGTCATTAAAACACTGGCATTTGTTTCAAAACATCAACTAATATCATATCTCTCATTAAATCATACGCTAAAATATATCACAAAGTCATTTAATAATTTCTGTGAAATATGGTATCCTTTTGTGGGTGAAACTTAAATAAACAAATATTGCCTTTAAAAAATCTGCACAAAATGAAGATAAACTGAATTATAAAATAAAAGAAGTTCTGATGAATATGTTTTACTCAATGTAAAATGGAAATATCCGGCCCCCCCACCCCATCCCCTCCTCCCACCATTTTCATATAAAATTGATAACTTGAAGTCTGTGAAAACCATTCTCTAAACTGTTCACAATTAAAACTGATCAATGAAAGTAGGTGGATCAGTTTCTGTAAAGTACGGCTCTTGTTACAATAATTGTGAATGTTACGAAACTGTTTGAAATCAAGAAAGGAAATCTCTTTCTCGTACACTTAAGCCAGACACTTTTGTGGACTTCAGTGGTGGAACAAGGAAGGTGTACAGTTCCACACCTGACAGTAGGCCAGGTTAAGAGTATTCCTATAAAATGCATCAATGTTTGTTCCGCTGCTGATGCTCAAAATCACACTGGAAGTGTCCAATGAATGTCGGATCCTTTCTTTGGCACTATGGAAATCATTCAAGCATTCCGGTGGAGATCTAATTCAGCAATTTTTTTCTGCAATAAATATACAACAAAATATTGGATAAAGTACTGAAAGTCATTTTAAAACCGGCCTTTGTAATACATCAATATGCCCAAGCTCCCACTCTCATAGAAATGGAGCTATTAAAACACAAAGCCTAACCGAAGTCACTGAAGCATAAAACATCAGTCACAGTGACTTGTCACATGATGGTGTAGCTCTCCTGAAGATGTACCAGCATATAAAATTTGTGAGCTTGGAGTATCAGAATAATGGAACCTTATGCATAGTCTCACCAAAAAGTTGTACAGATGGTCAGACATATGGTTGGACGTGGAAAATGTAAACACTTAATGCCTGGCCACCCACTATTGTAGCAGGGGCGTGATTACCAAGAGTATTACTTCGAGAGTACATGTGTTTTCAAATCTATCACTTAGATTGTAAGTTCTAAGTATATTTCTAATCCAATAACTTGAACTGAATTTTATTAAATGCAATACAACAGGCCAATGGGGCCTGTTTTACTCATCTGATTTAATTAACAAAGTTAATTATTGTCTATTTCAGCAAAGATGAGATAGAATGGCAGTGGTAACTTCATGACTTTCTGTTGCTCATCCTGGGGTTTTATTTGTCAAAGTTTTTTAGTTCTCAAAATTCAAATGAAAAACTATTTGTTACAAATGGTAGTAAAAACTGTAATTTTTAGGGTATTTGTGAGGTAAGGTAAAACTTTTTTTTTAAATGAGAGTTTAAACAGAGAAAAACATCCGAGATCATTATGTCATGTTTTGTGCAATGATGGTAAGTTATTTGCTCAATTAAGAACTCCCTGAATCAGAGTTGTTTGTAAAAGGAACTACGTACTCTTCGTCCAATCTCGCTTTTTCTTCTGCAAGTATTCTTCTTTGCTTTGCTGATAAGTTAAGTTTACCACCTGTAAAAATATTCAAGAAACTTACTAATGTAATTTAAAACAACACATATATAGATATTTTCTATTTTCCCCAATGTTGACTTTTATCAGATATTTTTTAATCTCAAAAACAGAACTGATGATGTCACTGCAACATATATATAAAAAGTAAATTTTATTTCTTTACAACAATTACTAAACAAGTTATATCAACTTAAATTAATCACTCTTGTTGGCATGAATGTTAGCTTGTGGAGGGTCGTAATGTTGGGGGACACTGGTGTACCCAAGGAAAACCCAAATGGTCGGGGTAGGTGGCTACACACCTTTAGGATCGAACCCTGGTCGTCTTGGTGAAAGGCAAGAATGCTATCCACTACGCCACCAGACCACCCATATAACAGAACTACTTTTTGCACATCTTGCTTTGATGTTAGAAATAGATAATCATTGAGGGTGTTGGGTTTTTTTGGAGGGAGGGAGGGGGGGCAGGAAAGGGGATGCTATAGGGGGATGGAGATGGGAGGGAGGATGTTATAGGGTTTGACTGTAAAGAAAAATAACTATAAACATTTTCTTTTATGAACTTCGCAGATTTACGTTGAAGTTTTTTGTTACTGACCGATGTCAAATTGCACATTCGGATAATGTCAATTTAAAGCTTGGAGGAGGTTGGTGTAGAATTTTTTTTTCATTGAAAGAATTCCTTTTTAATGTTGGGAGAAATTCAAGTGTTCCCCAGTTTGAGAATGAAACAGAGGATCGAGATTTAAGAACCTTAATCTCAAGAAGCCATTTTCTGTCGCGGAGAGATCCTATACAACATACCTGATGATGCATCCGTCAGATATAATATAACTGCAGCCACGAGAGCAACTGTAAAATAAGATAGTAGATATCAATATCAGGTAGAAAATCAGGAAATAATAGCTTAACTCATTCACCCCTGAAATTTCATATTGAACTATTCCAACCTTTGAATTGGAAGAGTTCAAATGTGTCTTCAGGGGTGAATGAGTTAAGGTAGACGTCTCTTGAGTTTATTCTGCTCCCTTACTCTAACAATTGTAAAAGAGTTGGTTTTGAATTAACTCTAATGAAGTAGATGTTTCTTCTTGTTGCAAAGGTGTTCGTTGAAATATCAGAAATAATTTTTGAAATTTAGGAGATAAATGTATACAAAAATGTTAAAAGAAGGATGTTTTATGTGTGATAACTGTATCCTACATTTACACTTTTAAAAGTAACTCTTTTATGGAGGTCATTTTCAATATCTGAAAATTGATGTCAAGAGTATCTCATAGTGTGAAAGAAAATGAGACCAATCCACCAGGAAAAATGATTTCATTTATAAATCGTATTTGACCTAATTAATGTCCATGTTCCTTCAAGTGTTCCTCCCACTAGGTGCTTCTATAAATATCGTAAGACATAGACATTTGTTTTCCCTGATAAAAAAGAATAACATATCTGGTTTCAACGATAACGCATCAACAATGCGTGTTACAAACAGAAGTTAAGGACCAGATAGAGGAGACAAAAAGTTGATAATCCAATTTGTACAGAACTTTGTAAACATTCTGGAACATGACAGTTTGAACAGGTACACTTCATCGCCTGCAAATCTGGCAATTGTTCAAGCATCCTGGGGTGGTAAATAGATTGAACATGGTACAAGATAGTAAACTTACTACACAGCCAGACGAGGAAGAACACCTCCAGTATTAGGTAGCCGCTAGAATCGACTATAGAACCCGCAGCAATAGATACCACAGCCAGCCCGAGGTTCTGGATAGCCTGCATACTACAACACAACATGTTCACGGTTATATGCTATACATGACAAATACTCCGTTACATTGGTCCAGCAGATCAAATTTTGTTTCTTCAATGCCTTTCAATTCTGCAAGAACCACACTTTAGATTATGGAGTGCAATAAGCAACAAGACAATTCGGCGAATTATAGTCCCCCACCGCATGTGAAATGCACAGATGATAAATTTGTGCAGGAACTAATTATATATATGAGTGTTTGACAGACCCACCGTATTCAATAAGGAATAGTGTCAGTGACCTGGTCAAAAACAGAGTGACCTATTTTGATATACAACACACCGCCTCACAAAAATGAACCCATACCCCAGGTATGAAGTTCCAGTGACAAGTAGTGTAGGAGATAGAGCCCAGACTAGAGAGCGGAAGGACAGACGGAAGGATGGACACGACACATAACTATAGTCCCCCCCCCCGGTTCCCGGTGGGGGACTAATAAGGAAAGCTAATATCAAGACAAGAATTTTTACCCAAAACTATACTCACAAAATATACACAAGTACTTACTGTAGTATCATAACTCTGAACTAAGTTATAGAACATAGTAATTGTTCTAGTTGTCATACTTACATGCCGTACGCAGTGCCGAGTTGTGATTCTTGTATAACTTGAGCAACAAGGGGCCACAATGCACTGGCCAGTATAGAATAGGCCAAACCCATACATATCTGTAATATAATGTGACAGTATAGAATAGACCAAACCCATACAGATCTGTTATATAATGTGACAGTATAGAATAGGCCACACCCATACAGATCTGTAATATAATGTGACAGTATAGAATAGGCCAAACCCATACATATCTGTAATATAATGTAACAGTACAGAATAGGCCAAACCCATACATATCTGTTATATAATGTGACAGTACAGAATAGGCCAAACCCATACATATCTGTTATATAATGTGACAGTACAGAATAGGCCAAACCCATACATATCTGTTATATAATGTGACAGTTTAGAATAGGCCAAACCCATACATATCTGTTATATAATGTGACAGTCTAGAATAGGCCAAACCCATACATATCTGTAATATAATGTGACAGTATAGAAAAGGCCAAACCCATACATATCTGTTATATAATGGGACAGTATAGAATAGGCCAAACCCATACATATCTGTAATATAATGTGACAGTATAGAATAGACCAAACCCATACATATCTGTTATATAATGTAATAGTATAGAATAGGCCAAACCGATACATATCTGTTATATAATGTAACAGTATAGAATAGGCCAAACCCATACATATCTGTAATATAATGTGACAGTATAGAATAGGCCAAACCCATACATATCTGTAATATTATGTGACAGTATAGAATAGGCAAAACCCATACATATCTGTTATATAATGTGACAGTATAGAATAGGCCAAACCCATACATATCTGTTATATAATGTAATAGTATAGAATAGGCCAAACCGATACATATCTGTTATATAATGTAACAGTATAGAATAGGCCAAACCCATACATATCTGTAATATAATGTGACAATCTATACAAATCTGTAACAGGACATCAAATTAAACATTCCTTGAAAAGAAGAGAGGAAATCTTTGTACCGTTTCCATGTGAAAATCATCAGGACAACAAAAGTATATTGAATTTTGGAATACATTACAATTTACCTTATACATAATATGAAACCACAGCATTAGGGTTTTAATGACAGGTGCTTTGTTATGAAATTTTCCTAACATGATAGAGAATAATTTGCTATGTATGTATACAGTCAAACTTCCATAAATCAAACTTCGAAGATTCAAATTTCTCGATGACGAATGTGTCGAACTTACAACAAAATCCAGAATTGTTCCCTTATATAACACTACTAATATTCTTTTCATGTATCAAATTTTTATGAGTCAAATTTCTCGCTGTTTCGAAGTAAAGTCAAGGCCCATTCGTTATAAAAATAATGAAAATTAAAACTAATAAATCAAATTGACAAAGAAATGTTGAATTTGATAAGAAATTAAATATTGATATTAAAATCAAATGTCTTAGCTTAATGTTTCATCACATTTTAAAGAATTATCTTCTGTCTTATTTACAGGATGTCGATGTTCACTATTTTTGAGTTGTTGAAGTCCCGACGTTTTAAATTTCTCCAGATGGTCCGGCAAAGTGCGAAATATCAAAGTTTGACTGTACAGGGAAAAAATGTACAAACAAGGATGCCTTAAATGTATTTGTGACATCCAAATATATGATTCTAATGTGTCAAATTATTGATTTTTCAGACAGCACCGATAACCTTCTTACCATGGCCACAAATGGGTTGAGGAAGGTGAAGGCTAGAAGGGCATGACAGCCTATCGTAGCTGAGGTACCAATGATTATCCAAAATATATTCTTTCCAGATCTGTCAATCAGGAAACCGAATAGAGGGGAGGCCACTGCAGATATGATATACACCAGGCTAAATAGAAAAAACATAGACAAATATTTCATACCAGTTCAATTCACTTTTCAAAATTATAAAACTATTATTACCTTAGGCCTTATGGTTCTTCAGAAGAAGTCAATTAAGGTTAAAACATATATGTCTGACCCATGTGACCTTAAATGAGGATCAAAGTCATATGTTTGAACAATATTGATAGTCATTTATCTTAACTACGCAGAAAACATAGCATTACATTAGGCCTTAGTGTTCTTGAGAAGTAATTTTAAAGATAAGAATATAACTGACCCCTATGACCTGGAATGAAAGTGAAGGTAATATTTTGATAAGAATAAATGCCCTTCGTCCAAGCTACAGTGTATCTACAGTCCAAATAGCATGATTCTAGGCCTTGATGTTCTTGAAAAGAAGTGGAAAATGTTAATTGTTAACAGACAATAGACCACAACGTATGGAGCTAGATGGCAATATGTCATGTGAACCATTGAGTATTTTATACCAGGAATATTTGCCCTTACGTTAAAAATCCATACTAGCCCCGCGATAAATTCGCTCTTTACATGTGATTACTTAACACGGTATATTATGTACTAAAATTTGCTGCCATGATAAAATCGCATGTTAATATATTTACTTAGTAATGATTAACCTGTTAATATAGTTACCTATTAAAAATTAACCTGTTAATATATTTACCTATTAATAGTGTTGGCAGCAGTGGGACTAAGGTTCCATTTCATTTCAAAGAAAACTCTGAAATTAAAAATAGGTTTTGATAGTACTACAGTATCTGCTAATACACAGTGTATAGATCTATAATTATAAGCATTCATATTCCAGGAGAAAACAAGAGATCCCAGAGGGATCTTGGCGCTCACTTTTGTACCATCTTCATTAGTTCTTTGTCAGTTCGATCTTTTCTCTTCTTTCCTCTAATTTGTTTGATCGAGTCATGTTAACAGTAAATGCACCTTGAGGTAACTTTTGATCTAAACTTAATACTGATGTGTATGAAAGCCAACCTTCAAAGTGAGTTTGTCATTTCACATATTTACTAGTACAGTACTTAATGTGAAAGAAATAGAATCGATCATTGCAATATGAGAAAGATCNTGACTACCTGTCAGCCACGTTGTGTATCCAATCAATCTCAAAAGTTGCCCTGCACAGCTAAGGACCAAGGGGAACCTACATATAAAATTTAAGAAAGATCCCTCTAGTTCTTCCAGAGAAATAGTGGTAACAAACCCACACTATCAAAATCCAAGATGACTACATGTCAGCCACGTTGTGTATCCAGTCAATCTCAAAAGTTGCCCTGCACAGCTAAGGACCAAGGGGAACCTACATATAAAATTTGGGAAAGATCCCTCTGGTACTTCTTGAGAAATACCGATAACAAGAATTGTTTACGGACGGACGACGGACAGGCACTCAAATAAGTTCCTAGGCAGGTAACTAAGCTTCTGGTGAGAGCAAAACAGCTGTTGATTAACTTTTTTTTTTTTTTTTTTTTCAAATCTCAACAACTGTACTTATACAGACTGCATCGCTATCTATGAAACCTTGTGATGTTTCAACATTATCAGTTCAGATTTACGAGTCCTGATAGGGAACACACTGTCTTTATAAGATTAGGTCCGAAAGGTGGGCAACTTAGCTGTACGCAACTTAGCTGTACATTTTATGAAGAATTATAAAACTCTGTTGTTGAAACTGAGAAAACAAAAGCTGAAAACCTGGACCCATATTTCCTGAAACCTTCTTCATAATCAAACATGGAGTCTGTGATTAAACCAACTTTCTTATAACTTGTTTAAATTGTGTGACATAGAAAAAATGTCAAGTCTAGATAATGAAAACAGTATTCAGATTTAAGTCTCTCCAAAATTCTTCCAAATCATCGACATGTAAATTTGTATTATTTTATCACCAGAACAAAAACTGAGCTTGAGCACAGATTTTGACTTAGAACATGAGAAAGGGTTAATGAAAACGGGTCCCGGGCTACTGCATTATTGGTGACGGGACCAATTGGATTGGACTGTACTTACAAACCGAGACCAATGAAGGGAAACACAGCTACATAATACGCCACACAGATAACACACATCAACCAGAACGGCAGAGGGAAGTATTTTACGTCCGTTATTCTGATCACCTCATCTGAAACACCAAGTTATCAATTTGTAACAAATCAATAAATTCATACCCTAAATGTCATATAAATTTTATATCGAAAAAAACATAAAAAATGGTAGTCCAGACACATTTAGCTTGAGAGGAAAAGTAAAAATGTTATGACAAATCTGATGCGTAATATCAAGACTGCTAACTTTCCTTTCCTCAGTAATAACATACCAGTGTTCCCTGTTTATGTTATTGTTGTTTTACTATTTCAGAGCCCTGTTACATGACACACTCAACACACATGTGGACTTAGAATTGTATCAACTTCACGCTGTGTCCGTGACAATCGGTGACCATACCCCTCTCCTGGAGTAGGCACTCCCTGCAAGATCTTTCTAAAATCTAGTGAATTTTAACATAGTTCTGGAACACAAAAGCAAATCTACATGCGAACAGATTATATAGAGTTACAACATCAAACACATAATTCTAAAGCACACCAAGTGCTGGACATAGGCCATCCATGGCCCCTCTGGCCGAGGCCTTCCCTGGCCTGGCTTTCTCTCCGGAGGCTCACATTCTCGAACCAAGAATCCGGACTCTCAATGCCTAACCCTGGACTCCCAATAAAATTCTCCCCAAGTACTTTTAACAATATATACAACATTAACTCTTCATGAGTAGGTACCACCTATTGTACATGAGTAATAGGGCACGTGCAGCAATTTAATCTAACTTCTCGTCTAACTTTCCCATTCCAAAACAACAATACTAGATGTACCATATATGGCAATGACAGTTACCCCTGTCTGTTTTTGTGAGTTCACACTCTTGCCTCGATCTCTACGCCATCCTTGACTGACCCGGTCATCACTAGATTGGTAGCCCTATAGCACTATCTACAATTCCACAGTCCCCCGTCAATCAATGCACAGTGTTATCCAAATCGTAAGATTTGACATCACATGTACTTTAGACCAAAGGGCTGCTCTCTATTGATACCCTTTATCTTTCACGTTTTATGATGGTACCCCTGGATATCGAGGGTGGGACTAAGGTAAAAGGATTTTCTAGATAGACACAGTCTACTGACCAATACAACTACATAGCCTGGGTTTTAGATCACCATCATAGAAATCTGACGATTGTCATCATGACATGTTTTTACTTGTGAAATATCATTGCCTACCATAATGACATACAAATCTGCCTTATATGCCTTAATTTATTTCTGACCTAATTAATATAAATACATTCCTGCATTTGATAGAAGACGCAATGACGGGTGCTACATGTGTTGCAGGAAACACTTGCCCTTCCAGGACACCCCCAATTTTGCCTCCTGTTTTTTGTTTGGGTTCATCATTAAGTCTTTCTTTTGGTTTGGATTAATGTAAGTTCCAACTGCTGTCTTTTTGTGTTGATGGTGTGGTACATCATTTCTCATTTGAAATTATTGATCATTTCATTGTTTGATTTTGCAAATTTTAATACAGTTTAACCAACTCAAGTGACCACCTCCATTGAAAGACCACCCGTACTTTGAGGCCATTTTCAATATTCCCTGTTGTATTGATTTTACTGTGAACGGAGACCACCTCCATTGAGAGACCACTTTTTAACTTCCCCAGAGAAATCTTTATTACAGGTTTGACTGTAACCTAGAATACCTGTATATATTTGAGGTTACCTGATGCAGTTGCTTTTCTGTGAAGGATCCGGTCTGCTCGTTTGTCGAAGTAGCCGAGGGCCAGGGCACAGATGAGTGACAGGAGGCAGATGATACCCCCGATGAAGAGAGTGATGCCGAGAACCTTGTAGCCAGTCAATCCATGCTCAGCCACCATTTTGTATAGCGGCTGCATGATGTTCATGTTCACGGTACTGCCCTACAAGTCATAAAAAAAATCAATTTTAAAATAGACATACAGTATTCGATCTAATTCCGCTTTTCGTATTGCAGAGTTATCTTCTCTTGTGAGCAGGTATTGATTGTTACGTCATTTGTTTGTGAGGGTAACGTCATCAAATTTTGAGAAAAACGATGTAATTTTCTCACACTCACTAGTGACGTAACAATCAATTCCTGCTCACAAGAGAAGATAACTTTGTAATACGCAAAGACGGAATAAGCCTTGTGGAAGCAAAATAATTTTAGAAAATAAGAATGATCAGGAACACTGTGGAAGAAAACTCCTTGGTGCTAAGCAATTTAGCAAACTCATAACGATCCGAGAACCTTTGGAAATTCTCAATTCTAGTAAGCTGATAGAGTATTTAAAAGGAAGGAAAGCTTGGTTTGGAAAAAGGGAAGGGACACTTATAAGGAAGGGGCATTGATTATGTCTGATACGGTTGATGTGGTTGGTAAAATGTATTTCCAGGTGTACACATATGAAAGAAATAATTGGAGCATAAAATAGGACATTTAAAAATGTATTTAAAAAGTGAAACAATATTTACAAAGGTAAGAAGGTTCACTTTGTTAAATGTGCTGGTAATTCTTAGAAGTTTGTTATTAATTTTTCAAAGTATAAGTTCAGTTAGTGTATGAACACTTGGGTTTAAAACGGTAAACCTGATATACCGCCAAACTCGTTATACTGCCAAAATCACAGAGGACAGAAGGTGACGGTATAACGAGGTTTTACTGTATATATGTTCAAAATATCTCTGTCTGAAAGTGTCTACATATATATTTGAAATATATGGGGCAAAGAAGTAATTCCAACAGTGTGGACAAGTTTAGGTCGTCAAATTTTCAGAGCGATCCGCTCCTTTTTCAAGACACAGTGAAACAGGACAGTTACATGTACATATACATCATATTACAAGAATATAGAACTGATATACTATAATTGAAAATATAGCTATTATATAAAACCAATAGTCCCCTCGGCTAAAGACAGCCGAAGGCAGCAATTAAGCTGAGAGCATATATGTATAGGCTTAAAAAATCAGAATTGACACTGCAAAGGAGATATTTAGGTACATTGTACATCATTTCTTACCACACGGGAAAAGCTGAGCTGGAGACCAAACACCATGTTGAGTTCCCTCCCCTGAAACCATTTGACAGCGTAGGTGTTCTGGGCCACAGCCAGGGACTCTCCTCCTATCCTGTAGAAACAAATACAAAATAAAGGTTTCATATCATATAATTAGGGATTTGAGATCAGCTCTTCTATCCTGGACAGAAAAAATATGGGAAATTGTCTTTATATCTGATAATCACAAATTCTCTGGAGAAACAAATATAAGTAGATATTTAATATTAAATAACCATATAAGAATTATGATATATAATAACTAGGAAAAGTCTGTAAGACATAAATGCCCCGTCTCATGGATGGGACGGGAAGGGATTGGACGGGACGGTCATGGGCAACACTATATGCCCCTCCATTTTATGGCAGGGGCATAAAAAGCAAAGTGAACAAAACACTGGTCATACAAACAAGTTTTTCCTATAGTAAACCAATTTTATAGGTTTTTGCTGGTGTTGGCTAATTAATACTTCCTATAGCAAACCAAGTACTCCTTCATTTTTTTTTTAGCAAAATGACACAACGAAAACTGGTTTTAGAAGAAAACCTCAAATTACTTTGTATGCAATATTTAGCCATGCATTGATGTTTGCTTATCTGCTCATTAACACTGATGCATAGTATAAATTTCTTACATTAATTATGAACATTTATATCAAAATCAAGACACTTACCCAAATATGAATCTGGCCATATCCATTAACCAAACCTTGTTGAGATAGGCACCTAGTGCAAACAAAATCTGAAAAAAAAAAAAAAAATTTTTTTTAGCTTTTTCTCCTATGTTTTTGCATTTAATTTTAGAGTTTACTTTATATCAAAAGTTCAGCACTGATTCTTAGATATTGGAATGATGGCTTCCATCTTACCGTTGTATCTTTGTTTCTGGGCAGTATCGCTTATGAGATTTTATTATTTTGGCCATAAAAGTGGTATTTCTTATATTTAATTGGAGTGTTTACCATCAAATTCCTCTAATTTCAATTTATACTATGAATATATAATGTAAGCATGCATGAACTGTGTTTCTGTGCGTAATTTGTGAGAGGATACCTCTCTATTTTCCAACCTAATTTTGAACTTCAGAAATCAGTGGAATTTAATGAAATTTGCATTTTTTTTTAAAATACAGTTAATTCAATGCATATAGAACATCTTAAACTATGACATGTTTCACTGTAATTAAGGAATTATCACAAGTTAAGTTTTCAGTCCATTTTAGGATTCTGTCATACATTTTTCCTTTCATGAATATTATTAAATTTGGACAAGTGTATGTCTGTGCCTTAGCTTAGTTTTTGCTTTTAATTACAAGCTTATAATTTGTCTAATTTTGAATTTGCAGAACTTTTCAATACTGTCAATGTCTGTAGTGTAATTTCAATATAAATGCTTATATTGTTTTTAATTCTTACATCATCATAAACAGTAGCTAATGCCAATATCTGAATAAAGTACACAGAGTATACTGAAAGAATAATTGATCAAGTTTAGGTTATATACGTTACATTACATTTAACCAGTAATATACGTTTAACACATGCATGTTATTGCATTGTAATACTCCTACTCCGTCTTTACGTATTGCAGAGTTATCTTCTCTTGGGAGCAGGTAATGATTGTTTCGTCATTTGTTTGTGGGGGAAAATTGCGTCGTTTTCTCAAACATTGATGATGTTACTCTCCCAAATAAGTGACGTAAAAATCAATCCCTGCTCCCAAGAGAAGATAACTCTGCAATACGCAAAGACGGAATAAGCTAATCTGCTTTTGGAATAAACTTAATTGAATTGAAATATGTTAGAGTTATCTCCCATAAATATAAAACATTCTAATGATGCATTTAATACATGCATTTTTGAGATTTCTTTCAATTGTGTTACCAATTTATTAACCAATTAAAGTTCAAGTTAACAAGTTACAAAAATTGCTTACATTTATGTAACTCTTTTATAATGGAGATGAATACTGCACTAAGCTAGCAGTCCTCCTTAAGATTGAAATCTTACAAGCCGAATTTGTACTGACCTGTCCCAACGTGACAAACAAGCTGAAAATGATGGCTCCCAGTCGGACACCAAACACCTTGTCAATCAGGAAGCCGCCGAAGAAACACAGGATGACATTGGGCCATGAATACCAGGAGTAGAACCCCATGAAAGAACTTTCCGACAGATTAAGGTCCTTTATCATGGTGTCCTGGAGGGCAGCAGGGTTGTCATAGCAAAAATAGCTCCCTACAAAAAATAGGTCAGAGTTCAAGTGGTTGTCATAGCAACAATGCCAAAATAAGCTCCTTAACACATCAAAATATATCGGAGGCCAAGGGGTAGTTACATGTATATTTTATAGCAACAGTATATTTTTTAAACATCAAAATAGGTCAGAGGTCATTGCAACAGTATGGTTCAAAATCAAAATATATTTTTGTAATTTCATCAGCTTGTAATTACAGCAAAAATGGAATACTGGAGAAAAATGACTTATGGTCAATTAATATCAAACAGGACCAAAGGTAGCTTAAACGTTTTTTTCCAGAGCTCAAGCTTAATATTTGTTACTAAATTAAAACGAACAAGGCATCACAAGTGATACAAATCCCCACGCATTCACACATCGTGACATATGTAAGAGGAAATGAAGTCACTAGAATGATGACAATTTTTTGTTCTAAAAACAGTAACAGTCGGTGACCTTGACCTTTAACGCAGTAACCTGAAACGTGAATTTGTTCAAGGCATTGCCATACAAGACACTTGTATCAAGTTTCATGAAATTCTGTTGAGGAATGAAGTCGATAGAGCGATGACAAAGTTTTTGGTTAAAATAGTAAAAGTGCCCTTGACCTTTAACACAGTAACCTGAAATGTGAAATTGTTCAAGATATTGCCAATTACCAAACACTTATATGAAGTTTCATGAAATTGCATTGAGGAATGAAGTCGATAGAGCGATAACAAAGTTTTTCTAAAAATAGAAAAAGTGACCTTGACCTTGAACATAGAAACCGGAAACGCAAACTTGTCTATGACATTGCCATACCAATAACTTGCATGAAGTTTCATGAAATTCCGTTCAGTAATGAAGTCGCTAGAGTGTTGACAAAGTTTTTTCTAAAAAAGTAAAAGTGACCTTGACTTTCATTATAGAAACTTGAAACGCAAACTTGTTCAAGGCATTGCCATATCAAACATTTGTATCAAGTTTTATGAAATTTTGTTAAGGAATGACGTCTGTAGAGCCATGACAAAGTTTTTCTAAAAATAGTGACAGTGACCTTGACCTTCAACACAGTAACCTGAAACGCAGAGTTGTTCAAGGTGTTGTCATACTACATACTTGTATGAAGTTTCATGAAATTCCGGTTAGGAATGAAGTCGCTAGAGCGATGACAGACAAAGAGTGTAACATACGTACGACGTACGGGCGGAATCCTATATCCCCTCAAACTTTTGTTGCGAGGGGATAATAATTTGTAGAGTATAATGAATGTTTATCCTTCAGAACAAGTTATCCATATTTGTTACATGTCATTGTATTTTTATTAATCAAATTCAAGCAGAATTTATAAGCTTAGATAGACTATAGGTAACATAGACTTTATTCAAACTTGTAAATATATATAAGTTTCATAAAAAGTCCTTGGTCGATACAAAATAAAACAAGAGGCCCATGGGCCTTAACGGTCACCTGACATCAGATTCATATTGGGAAACTTTGTATGCAGCTTTGTATCAATGAGTTCTTGGATGAGTTTGAATACCAGACCAATTTGACCATAACTTACATAGTTATTCCCCTTGGGAATTCTATTATTGTTGGACCCTGAGAACACGATAACTGAAATAAATGGGTGTGACTCCAATTTTGACCCAAGGGGTCTGTTTTGAACAAACTTGGTAACTGTACATTTTTTTGTATGTCTTCTGTTCTTGGTTAAAAGAAAGAAGTAAAAGTATAAATCAATGATTTATTAAATAAGGCACAAAATTTAAATAGCACCTTGTTAGTAGCAAAAATGCGTCATCAATGGAAAAAAAAGGTGTACCACATGAATTTACATCTATTCTTGTGTAATGCCAATCAACATCACAGGGACAAATAATAATATAATGACAAAGGGCAATAACTCTGCAGGTTACTGTCAAATAATTACCGGACAAAGTTTCATTGAACTCGGTCAACATTTATTCAAGTTATCGTGTTTAAAATGTACAATAATAATATTATTACAAAGGGCAATTTCTCTGTAAGTAACTGTCGAATAATTCCCATTTTCCAACGCATCCGAGAGCTTATTGATATAAGGCTGCATACAAAGTTTCATCAAACTTGGTTGATAATTACTTAAGTTATCATGTTCACAAGGTCCATTAATAATATTATTACAAAGGGCAATAACTCTGTAAGTTAATGTCGAATAATTCCCATTTAGAGTCAGGGATATTATTGATATATGACTGCATACAAAGTTTCATCAAACTCGATGAACATTTACTCAAGTTCTCGTGTTCACAAGGTCCAATAAACATTATTACAAAGGGCAATAACTCTGTAAGTTACTGTTGAATAATTCCCATTTTCGAACTTGTCCGAGATCTTATTGACATATGGTTGCATACAAAGTTTCATCAAACTCTGTTAACATTTACTCAAGTTATTGTGTTCACAAGGTCCAATAATAATATTATTACAAAGGGAAATAACTCTGTAAGTAACCGTCGAATAATTCCCATTTTCGAACTCGTCCGGAATCTTATTGATATATGGCTGCATACAAAGTTTCATCAAACTCGGTTAACATTTACTCAAGTTCTCGTGTTCACAAGGTCAAATAATAATATTATTACGAAGGGCAATAACTCTTTAAGTTACCGTCGAATAATTCCCATTTTCGAACTGAAGTTATTGAGTTCACAAGGAAAAGTTAACGCACGACGCACGATGACGGACAAAAGGCTATCACAATAGGTTACCATGACCTATGGTCAGGTAACCTAAAACTGAGAAAATTTAATAAATAGATGCTTAACATCTTTAAAAAATATATATTCAGATATTGCTCATGTCCTCAATTGACATGTCAAGGATATAAAACCCATTGTCTGTAGTCTCACAAGGACTCCTAAAGAGTATATATATATATATATATATTCAATTATTTCACACTCCAGGCTCTTCAATGTCAATTTAATCATTGTCTCAATCACTCAATCAGACATATAAAAACCCTCAACACAAATCACTGATCCAGAGAGAAAGCTGCTAGTTAATGTACAATCTTTGACTTCAAATCTAAACTAATCAAGCACCATGTCAGAGGATAACAATCTAAGATTACGTCAAGTCTACAACAGAAAAAGAATTGTCAACTTCTTTAATATCAGGCATATTAAGCAACTAATGTTTTAAAATAAATTGTATAAAAACATCATAAAGTTTTATTTGAAATGTCTCTTGACTACTTGTGATCTTATTAGGCCTGAAATCTTTGGATTTTAATTTTGTACATCTTATCCCCAAATTTTACGATCAACTTGAATCACAATGAGATATAAAGTTGTCAATAGAATTGGGATTTAAATCATTGTGTTGTAATTTTCAAAGGCTGGTTAGCTTAATAAAAATTAAAAACATTTATTTCACCTCAAATATTCATGAAGTGTTAATTGAATCTCCAAACTAAATCTATCATCTACTTTATTTCAAATTTAATTTATAGAGGTTCAAATTAAAGTTTGCTTCAAGAAATACTTGTTATGGCTTTTATATTTATTGAAAATATCATTTTTTTTTTTTTTTTGAGTTAATAAAATCATGTGCTAAGCTAACAAATTAGTACAAATGTACATACAAAAATGTTACATGTCTTATCAGCTTAATTACATATTATTGTGAAATAAATTTCATCTACCTTTCCTGATGTATCAGAACTGAAGAGTCCCTAACATTTTAGGGTTCAAAATGATCATTGTATGATAAAAATCAAATCTTTTATTTGTACAATTTGTTGGAAGCAAACTTGTATCAAACATATAAAGAATGTTTCAAAAAGCTAACAAGTCTTGATTTGTCTGTGTCTAAGGGTGTGTCGCAGGAGCCACTTAGATCTTTTATTATCTGAATAAAAACATGTATAACAAAGAGACTATATGTTTAGTGTATAGTCAGGGGCAGTGGAAAAGATTCCAACTCAAAAGTACCCAGTACATGTTCTCAGCACATGTCAACATGTTGTCAAGCTATATTGACTGTATTCTAAAATCAACACGACGACAGTGAGTAGGCTGATCAGAATGGTTTGTGTGAAGAACCTACATGTAGAACTACATGACACACTGTGATTGGAGGACTGAGCGACTCAAGAACAAGACATGTACACATTAAACAATGAAGGTCGGAGTAGTAACAGAAAACAGAAGGAAGAAATCCGATATTTGACTTCGTAACATTTCCGGACTCTAGAAGGACTGGGGAATATACCCTGGCAGTATTAAGCAGATTTTATGGTATGTATGTTAAATAATGATCAATTTCCAGTTACTACAGGCAGCTATATATAGTGTGTAAGTTGGGGTGCACGTGTCTGTCTAGATAATTGAGGTTCCGGGTTAATCCCAGTCTAGGACCCCTAAGCTCCCCCCTGCACTTTTCTACTCCTCTAATTAAGCCTTAAACCCTTATTTCAAGCTGTACATGTCCGAGTGCTCGGCCATGGGATACCTGAACCCGAGTGTTAATGTACATGTAAAATGAGTTGTTTTCGGGGGTAAAGACTTATAAAACCAGGAAGAACGTTATGTAGTGGAGGTGGTCTGGGTTTGTTACCTGTGACCAGGTAGCTCAGTTATACAGTATCCAGTTTAGTAAAGACCTGCTGACGGACAGATTATTTGTATGGTAATAACAGTTGTATCATTGGGGGGGGGAAAGAATATTTCTTGGTCTCTTTAAGTTAAGAATTGTTCAAATACAAATTAAGAATTCTACTTTGGAAATATAGAAAAAAGTTTTGTGCCTCAAAGTGGGACATGATAAATTATCATAATTCAACTTAATAACTGCACGGTTTGAGACTCTGCCAATAAGTTGATCAAAACTTTATCAGATGTAACTGTTATAGTATTACTTAGTTCTGGTGTACCAATGTCCTTTCATTAAGTAATGCAATCTCTTATCATCAAAAATCTATCAATTCAAGGCTGAATATTGGAATTTTATAGTACACGTTTTATTGTATTCGGTATATAATGTACATGTATATTCAAGTACAGTCTTCAACGGAAACATTGTGAAAACTAAATTACTATAAAAAAATTCTCAAAAAATACTAATTGATCCATTAAATTTTCCTGTTGATAATTTTTCAACAAGCATGATATCCCCTAAAATGGAATTGGAAACAGTTTCTTTCTGAAACCTTTTATGGTAAAATGCTTAGGCACAAGAATTTGTACAAAAAATATTTTTAGTTTTGAAAACTGAACCTCTATGCTATAGATTCAATCTCATATCGTTAAACTCTGAATGAGATCCTCTATATACACAGGCGCATGTATGTGCATATCAACATTGACAAAATTAATTTCCAAAATCTACAAAAGCTATTCTGATATCAGGCGTATCATATGACCTCAAATCGTTGTTCTGAAGTAAAAATAAAATGTTTGTTTGTATTTTTCAGGTCCTTTGAAAGAAACGTAGCATAGTCATGAAAAGAAAGAGAATGCTGCACCCAATATATACGCGGTTTCCACAGCTCCTTAAACTCAACAGAGTCTGCGGAGGGAGGTGCTGGCAAAAACAAATACTTCATATATTTCTGTATGCTGCTCTGATCTTGGGAATCATAGGGTTCCTATCACAGATTTTCTTATTGTCCTGGAAATTCCAAATCTTTCCCAGACGGACCAATATTGATGATGACCTTTCAAATGTCACAGACAGCACCGAAAAACCAAAACCTAAACCCTTTCTATCCTATAAACAAAACTTTTCATTCCCATTAGAAATAGACATTGCCTATTATGTAAATGAGAAGATTCAGTTTAATGATTCGATTCCATATCAACCGATCAACCCACATCCATTCAAATACATTAATCTGCCTCGTGCTTGCGATTTCAGATTAAACGGAACTGATTTGACTCAAAATGATACAATTCTTGTGTTGGTCAAGTCCACAGCGTCACATTATTCATTACGGGGTGCCATAAGGTCTTTGTGGAAATCTGTTCAAGATGCAGGGATTAAAAAAGTGTTTTTGCTAGGTTACGACGGGATGAATCAAACTGAAATTAACAAAGAGAGTCAAACTAACCGTGACATTATACAGGAAGATTTTGTTGATGCATACAGAAACAACACATTCAAAACAATCATGGGATTCAACTGGGCATCACAATTTTGTACCGAAGCTAAGTTTATGTTCTTCATGGATGACGATTACTACGTGAAGTTGTCGGAACTTGCAAACTATCTTCGTAAAATACCGGAACAAAATAGCCACAACATTTATATTGGGTCATTATCAAAAAAGGGAGTACCGTACCGGGATAAGGATACTCGGTGGTACGTCTCCGCTGAGGAGTATCCGTTTGATTTATATCCTCCGTATATTGGTGGGGGTGCCTTTGTAGTATCTTATGATGTTGCTCAAAGGTTTCGGCTTGCTTTTCCTTTCACAAAATATATGCCAATTGATGACGCATACCTGGGAATTGTGGCACGCAAACTAAACATCGTTCCTCGTCTTGACAAAAAGTTTCTGTCCTATTACAGGGGCGCTATTGCTAGGGAGTGCTCCCATGATGCATCAGAGCTCATGAAGCAGATCTGTCCACTTGCCAGGATTGGATTTAACATGTATGTACACCGAAACAAAAAGTCGATAGGGAAAATGACATTACTGAGAGCGTTGACAATTAGTATTTGTATTCTCTTTGGTGCTTGCGTCTGTGTCTTATTTCCAGTGATTCTACATCTTTACTGTGACAATTTTTTCGTAACAGATATCAAGACACAGCAAAACCCTAGTAGGAAGTGTTGAAATAAAAACCATCTATTTTCAATTGGAATTGATTTGAAAATAAACATCTTTATATCACCTCTTGTGCCAAGTTTCGTTATTAATGGCTTTCTTGGGGTGACCTCAACGATTTAAAACTCTTTTAATTTATAAACAAAAAGTCTTTCTCAGCACCGACATTTTCTCACCAACAACTGATGGTTTACATCTACGATATATCAATACAGAGTAAAGTAAGGCACTTTGGGGTTTGAAGTCATGAATGTTATGTCTATGCGACAGGTTCATCCTCCTGTAACATCACGCATGGTCAGACACTGGATCAAGGGACTTAATTCATGAATCATCCAATTACAACATTATATATATATATATATCCTAACGGGGCGTGTTACAATAAAAAAATAACGCTTAATGATGAACTTTAAATTGGAGTATTCATACTTGCCGTTTACTTTTGGAAATCTCATGGGGGAGATTTTGCACGCTCGAAATTAAAATCAGAAATAAAATTTGTGTACACAATATGTATAACCTCTAGGGAAAAACTAACACTTTAGAATTGTATCTTTGAGTATTTATTTCCAAAGAAATTATTAGATCTTAGAATATAAGATCTGTAACAATTTTAGACATGTATGAAATGCTCAGTTGGTCTAGCATTATCTATAAAGGAGGCACAGTAGTCTATTGGTACAGCGCTGGGCTCGTGACCGAAGGGTTGTGGGTTCGAGTCACGGCACTGTGTTGTATCTTTGAGCAAACCATACTTTATTCTGCTTGTTCCAGCACCGGCTGTATATGCTCCCCAGAGAGTTGAAAAAAATATTGGCTGGTTGCAAAGTCACTTTAAACACGGATAATAATTTGTGAATCGCTTTGAGACAACCTACGAACTAGGTTGTGATAAAGCTGTATATAAGAACCTCATTTTATTATTATTATTATTAATTATAAGAGTTCAGAGGGTCGTAGTATAAATTATTGTGTAACCAACTGCATTTTCTCCGTCCATGATTTAGTATAGACCCTGTTACAAACAAGGCATTGTGGGACGAGGAACTGACACACTGCCGTCCTACAATTTTAGCGCCCACGTAGGGATGTGACAATCTGATTGAATATGTTAATTACCACTCAGATATATACTTGCAGTCTCCCATCAATTATGAATGAGTATCTGAGTCAGCTGGTCAGTTGAAATATGGACTTAGATTGGAGTGGGAACTTTGCTATTGTTTTGTATGTACAATTATCTCCTAAGCTTTGCTATATCATACATATTGTTGTATTCTGAAGACAAGCTCTTTCCACAGGTTGAGAATATGTACTGATCTGTAACCGTATAGTCACTTGTTAGTTGTTACTGACTCAGAGGGGATTTCCCTTAACCCTTTCACCACTATAGACCATAATGGACTCATCCAGATCAATGCATGGGAGAGTCTACTAAAGTTACATAGGGATGAAAGCTAGGGTTAAGCTCTATCTGTAGAGCACTTGACTAGTTATGTGCAGTCCTGAGTTTGACTTCAAGTGTGGAGGCATACACACTTGACAAAAAGTGTCTTCTTCCCTTTCTGAACTCCTGTATCTACACAGTGTAATATTATATAAGTGTTCCATCCAGTTTGTTATCTATGATAAATCAGATATAGATTATTTGAACTTATTACGTGAGAGAATTCAAACATTCTAATTAACAATATAATTGCATACAGTATAGCAGATTTTAATTGTATATAAGATTATGGTCGCCCTCTTAACTTAATTTGTGCGACACTCTGTTCAATAGTTTAGAAGAATTAGTCTAGACACTAGACAAAGTTTGAAATGACAAAATACAAAAAAATGGCATTATTATACTCTGGTGTTTTTTTTTTGTTAAACTGACAGATATTTATTAGTGGCACAACAAAGAGGGATAGGGGATTCCATTTTTTATTGAAACCTGCCTATGTAACACTAACATATGTGGTACATGATCCCACTCAGGCAAAAAACTTTCACACCAATTTCACACTCAATCAGTGCGTCATATATAGAAGCCATTACAATTTCACCAGTGGATGCATAATTCTCTTGCTCTAAATATATAAAGTAAGCCCAACATGACATGATGTAAAAATAGTACAAAGATCAAGTGACCTATCTTTACATAATGATGGTTTATACTGGCAATTACTCTCCAGTATGGCATTTGAACTCACAAAGGATATGCTATTTTCCCCCCAATATCTTCTTTGATGAAAAAACCCAGCATAATTGTGCAGAGAACTTTTCACATTTCATCAAATCATGCATCCATATAATTATAACACTACTGTTATACCTGAAGCTTGGTGAATGCACAGGATCACTAACTCCTTTGAATTTAAATATAAATTATAATTGATCATAATGCCTTTTTTCCTATATCATACGAAACCAATCATAATTACTTGTTGGATAATCCTGAGAGATAAACATAGGTCTAGCATTTCTTTAGACAGAACAGCCATGACCTTGAACTTGACAAAATTGTTACTATTTCCCATATCAAATAACTTTTAACTGGTTGAAAATTGGTTGCTAGCCTAAATATTTATTTCACTGTTATCCATGTGTATCCCTTTATTGCCTTCCTAGTGTAACTAAAGGTACGGTACGGCTATTCTATCGGCGTATGTATCGGATATCACTGGTGCAGTCTATTTGTTTACATGGGTGTTTACTTTAGAGACGACAGGATTTTTGGGAGTCGACAGAAGAGGTTCCATGCTTACTGCACATGTCATAGATTAAGTCAATCAGAATGGGTGTCCGATACATGTTACATAGGGCCTGGAGGCTGGGGTATAAAAGGGGATGCATCGGGGCAAAAACAGTGGGTCTGCTGGATAACCGAAATATGCGGTAGTGAAGCGGACGTAAAACCTACTAATCAATGGCAAAAACAGTGACTTGCATGGCCGGAAATTAAAGTTGGCTATACCAGGAGGGTCATATACCGACACTGGACAGGCTCTCTCCCAGATGTCCTATTACAAAACGTTAAAAAGAATTTATACCATCTCAGAGATATATAAAGCAATAAAGTTGTATACACGTCTCTGACCATGTGTAAGATTGATTTTTTTTTCACCCAAAAAATAACCTCTTGTGCCATCATAGCAGCATACCGTTTCTAGTTGTGATGGGGCGGAGATGCCATAAATACATATAGTTATTCTTATTTCGCCAAACTTACATACATCTATGTAACTGTACAAATATATGGGACACATTTTAATTATGCAATAATCGAAACTATACATGTCCTTCCTTATTGATAATCGCTAGCACCTATAACACAACGATGAACCAGCAGTTACATACCAGGCTACTGTTGACAGTCATCGTCAGCTGATCAAAATTGACTACAACTCACCAAAACTTAGAAAACACATGATGATCAAAACAAGGTATCGGTGCAGGAATCGACGGGGATTACAGGCCAGAGTCGACCCGCATCCCGTCAGTTCTTCATCCTCTTCGTGCTCGTGAACATTGGAGTTGAGGAGCGGAGTTTTCTCGGAGCCTGACATTTTGGATCTTGTTGTTTCTCCGCGTGACTGCCTTCTCTAACCAGGTGGGTATCATGAGACTTCCTAAAAATAGAATAAATAGTCTCTAATATCCCAGTGAAATATTCAATATTATATTATCGTTATTTATCAAAGAATCACTTTTATATTGATATAGCATTTAAATACATTTAAGAGCTGTTATATACTAAAGTTATTTTAAAATGCAACAACACATGTAAAGTCAAGCGTTTTTCTTATTTGGCGTATAGACTTTAAAGCTTGTTCCGTTGTAAACTTTCCTATTTCCGGTGTTTCCCGGCTGAGAAGAAAGAACAATTTTCTGCGCGCTTTCCACCATTATTTTGTTTTTGCTTGCTTTGCAGGATCATGAGTTCTGCAAGCAAGGTATGGTCGCTACATTGGTTTTGTTGTAACTATGCATATGCTGTACGTGTAACTAGATAACCCTTTCGATTTTTCCGAGAAAAGGGGACGATTCGTCACAGATTTTAAGCACAATTTTCATTTAATAATTATGGACGAGTTGTCTGTATCCTATGTTATTGCTACAATCTTAGTCTTTTCGGCCCATATTTAAAATTTTACTTTCTATCAATATTTGATAGATTTAAATAATTGAAGATTATATTAACATTATTCTGAGTGAAAATAAAATGTAAACAAAATTGACAGGTCATTTTATTATAGACTTGAGTTTCCTCTGGCACTAACACCAGACTTAGACATTTTGATATATAGATGTCTGGTGTGGGGCCAGAGCGGACTGCTATATGAATACGTGGAATTCTCCGACACGGTTTGGTATCGGAGAGTTATGAGGTGCTGATAGACTGACAACAAAAATCTACTATGACACAACACAAACCACACATATATTGATAAATGGATGATTTATTGACCCAAATCAGCTCTTATTATCACCAATAGCTGCTAAATTCCTTCAGTAGAGTCCTCAATTTTCAATCATTCGAAATTTCCCACCTCTGCAATTGCAATTTTTTTAGGCCTTTAAACACGAAACCGTATATATATTGTTAAGCCATTTCTCAATTTACACCAACCACGATTGTCATATCGCACAACGTTCGTTCATCGTCTGCACAAATGTGCGCAAGCAATAATCATCCAGAATTTTATCATTTGCACATCGTCCGCACAATGCACATTGTGTAACGTTGTGCGATCCCACAACTGAATATGAAAACATGGAATTATCTGACACCGTTTGTTGTTGGAAAATTTGAGGAGCTGACAACAAAAATCATCTATGGCACAACACATACCTCACATGAATTTATAGATGGTTTATTTATTTATCAAAAAAAACATTCTTATTATCACCAACCGTTGCTAAATTTCGTCAGCTGAGACCTTGGTATTAATTCGTTCAAAGTTTCACACCCGAGCAACACTGTTTGTAGGTTATGCAAATAACACTTGGGTGATCACTAATCAATGAAAGGAGATTATCCAGAATTCTTTTAAATAGAAAAATAATTTCTGTTTTGTTCTGGATAATAACGGTCTATTAATTAGTAACTCCTGTGTAATTTGCATAATATATAAAATGGAGTTGAAGTGCGCTCTGGCCCCACACTAGACATCTATCAGTCAAAATGTCGAAGTCTAGATCTGGTGTCGGGGCCAGAGAGAACCTCCAGCTATCCTATGTGTTGCTGATTTCATATTTGAAGATTCTTTATTTTTTTTCGTCCTTACAAAACTTCACCTGGTCCCAAGGATCCAACAATTTTTTCAAACAACTTCTTCTTAATCCCCGATTGTAATTTGATGTGAAGCATGCCTATAGGTGGTTAGGATTCAAAGGGCCAAAAAGGGGATAATTTGGCCATATTTAATTTAAGTAACTTTTCTCTAGAACCAAGTACCGTAATGGATATAACTCTTGTTTAGTTGGAAGCATTTTCAGGTGGTGGTGATTCAAAATTGTACAAATGGAGGGGCTGACACCCACTCCCCCAGGTGACACATTAATGATATCAGAATTGACCCTGACAACTGGCCACACTCCTGCAGACTTATTCCTGGGTCATAACCTTTACAGTATTGATTATTAGAATCGGTGGTGTAGCAACACCTTTAGGGACTTAGTCACTGGGTCATAACATGGAAACCATTGAGATTGTCCAACAGGAATTACCCTATTCCTAGCACTAGATAATTTGCCATACATGGTACTGTTTTTATTGAGAACTTTTTGACCATGATTGCTTAAATATCCAGGTGAGCGATACAGGGCTTCCTGTTAGATACTGAAACTGTTGGGCATGGAAAGGTCTTGAATCCAAAAAAATCAATTGCAATGTAAAACACTTTAGATTCTAAATGAAGAAATCATGTGGCGAAATCTGAAATCTGATAGTTCACAATAATCTTGTTGACAAACTAATTGTGTAAAATACTGAAATAATTACAGTAGTTGTATTGTTCCATAGGTTGGTGAGATATTCACTGCTGCTGGGGCGGCCTTCAGTAAGCTTGGAGACCTTACCATGCAGCTACACCCAACAGCAGAGCCCAGCCCTTCAAGGTGAGACAGTTATTCACTTAACAAGATAAAACATAAACACGGTAACTGAAATAAAACTATTTGGAAGAGTTATAGAATTATGTTTGATATTCAGTCACAACTTGACAACTTGATAAATAAGCCAAATAAGCTATAACGTGCAAAAAACATGATATTTAAGTGAGATTGTTAAGGAAAAACCCTGAGGCACCCCTAGGCCTGTTAGTCATGTGATGTTCAGTTGTGAAATTCGACTTCTTATGATTTCTAGTAGTGTACATGTACAATATGTGCTATTGACCTTTGAACAGTGGGAAGTGGACACAACAAGAAATTGATCTGTTGAGAAACACTGTAAAAAGATTTGGTGATGACTTGGACAAATTAAGTGACGTAATTAAGTCGAGGACAATGTGAGTACGGGTTCTTGTTTAAAGTTTTAATGTTTAAATCAAGTCCTTTTTTGTTTGTTAGGTCACATGTTAGTACATAATTGTACATTTATTTGTACATGTATAAAACTTTTGAATGTTGAACCCTATTTTATATTTATTGCTTTTAATTAGCTCACATGTGCTCAAACTTCAACTAAGAGCGACATATATCTACTTATTTTTAGTTAATATTCTGACAAGGATATTATGTGTACTATCTTAGGATAACCAGTGGTAGTTGAAGGTCCAGTTGACATGTTAAAATCTGATTGGATTGATAAATGTAGCAAATTTGGACCAGGACATTTTTGTTGACCAGATAACTTGGGTCGGTTGTAGTGTTAGTATGAGAAGTCCAGAGTTGGAATCCTGGTCTAGTGCTGCTGCTGTTTTTTTCATTTCTCATATTTTTTTTTACAAGTCTCTCAAGATATGGTTTTCTTTCCAGAAATGTTATAACAAGGCTACATCTGTATAAGTCATACCAGCAAAAAGTTGGTTTCAATTGTGAGGTCACAATTTTTGTCAGTGGTACTGGGATCCTTAAAAATTAAACCATTAAATGCTGTTGTTCACTGCTTAAACACTGTTCGATTGTCAGTATTAACATATTGTACCCATCTCTATACCAAACAATGAACTATATTTAAATAATCATTTTATAGGAGTGTTGGTATTCCATTGACAATTTAATGGCATAAGTTGTGAGAAAATATTGTGGTATGATGTCATTGAATTTTTAATTTATAATTGTATTATTTTGGTCAGCACCCAGATTCGAACACAAATGAAGCGGAAGTCGTTTGAGGATGCAGGTCTGCCCCAGCCCACAGACTCCCCAAAGAAGGTGGTAATGGAGAAAAAACTTGTTGCCGTGGCTGCTGCTCCTACTACTGCTGCTGTGGGCGGGGAACCACAAGCAAAGAAACAGAAGAATGGTAAACTGCTATTTTGTTTGTTCTATTTTTTTAAATTGTTATCTTTAAATGACATCAAATGCAAGGAAACAAGAATACATAGAACAGCCTCTAACTCTTTTATTACCAACTGATATATGGGTTACATATAGATCTCAGTTATCTTAATTTAATATACCTCTACTCTATTTACTCTATATAAAAGTAATTGGTTAAATCAAATATATCCCCTCTTTTGCCTGACTGTGTTTTAGTCCTGTGTGTTGGTCTGGGAACCTTCTGAACTAAAACACACCTACACTCGGGTGTTTCCGCCGAGCCAATCAGGTGAGAGGTGGGCGGAGCTTGTTACCGAACTCGGTAGCAACGCGCGAGGTGGGCAGAGCTTGCTACCGAACTCAAAATAGCTTATATATTTCAATTCACTATAGTTACACTTTGCATTTGGCTCCATTGCCATCAAAAGGGTAGTTGGGACGTGAAGCTATACAGCTTATGGTTTACAAATATTTTGTAGTTAAAACTATCTCTCCAGTGTGTATTGGTATAATAAAACGGTTAAAGTATGGGGTTGAGGGATATAGCAAGTTTCTGGTGTCCCTTGACCATGCCTATTTCCCGAGGCAAACCTGGTCACAGGACACCAGAAACCTGCTATATCCCTCAACCCCATACTTTAACTGTATATTAACCAGATGATCAAGTCCGTTCAACTACTTTTTAAATTATTGCATGTATCACACATACTAGTACGGTATGTGTTTTTACTTTGGGCTCCATGTTCCTATTAGATGTATGATTTAATTATTGATTTTAGGCATAGTTGATTATTATTTAATATGTTATCCTTTCAAAAGGTGAATAACTGTTAAAAGGAAAGAAGGCTTAATATTGCTATGATATGGAAATATGTAAGCTTTTCAAGAGAAGAATGAGGCTCAATGTAACCAAGAACCTGTACAGTAGTAGGGTCGTGGACGTGTGGAACTCTCTCCCAAATATAGTTGTAGAGGCCCCCTCCCTGAATAGTTTTAAATCCCGGCTTAACAATCACTGGCGTCATCATCACCAAAGATTTGTACCTACATGTTACTCACAACCGGACATAATTTAAGTATAGTATCAAGATGCGTCCCAAGAAGCTGGATCAGCTTACATTGACATCAACACTACATGAAAACTACATGAAAGACACCTTTTTTAAAATATTTAGAGTTTCCTGTAATTTTTTGGGGTTTCTCTTTAATTGGGGCAAGCATCGATCAATACTCTTGATTACTTGTCCAGCATAGTCTTTCAAAACAGTGAAACCTTGCTATGCTGCTAACATTTGTCCAGAGAAATGTTGGTGTTATAATATAGGTAAGGCAAAGGAATTGTATAAAGGAATTCTTAAAAAAAAAGAGGACATTGTAATATGTTAGCTATAATATACAACATTTAATCAATGATAAACGAGGTGGCAAATGAAACGAAGGGCATTACATCAAGGTGTTCCTGTATTACATGTTTTACATGTAATATAAACATTTCTTATTTGTGTTAAACAAACCTTTGTCATCGACATATAATTATCAATATTCAGATGTAGTTCACAATCAAAACCACATATGGAAAAGATGACTGCAGAAAGTTCATTTTGTATTCTAGACTATCTTACCTACCAGTGAATTCATTGTATGGTGAGTGTTAGTCAGAGAGTTTCAGGGGTCACGGTGTAAACAAAGTGTAAATGCTCTAGTTGGTGAAATGTGGATATTCCTTGGCTGAAAATGCTAAAAAAATCAGGGATCAGTCTAGGATTTGGAGGAGATATATTTTTGTAAAGTTTTGGGATAATTGATTTAAAAGTTATCAGTGAAAAATTCAAAATAGCCAAAGACAAATGCTAGGTGTTTTCCTGTCAGTAAAATGATAGATATTCACATGCTGTAAATGTGTGCCTGTGTACTCATATACTGGAACATGAAAGAAAGGCTATCCAAACATTGTGTCTCACCGGGTGTCAGAGTAGAAAGGTTAATATATTGTATCTCACATGATGTCAGATTAGAAAGGATAATCTGACCAATATATTGTCTCACCGGGTGTCAGATTAGAAAGGTTAATATATTGTATCTCACATGATGTCAGATTAGAAAGTTTAATCTGACCAATATATTGTCTCACCGGGTGTCAGATTAGAAAGGTTAATATATTGCATCTCACATGATGTCAGATGAGACAGGTTAATGTGACCAATATATTGTGTCCCACCAGGTGTCAGATTAGACAGGTTAATCTGACCAATATATTGTGTCCCACCAGGAGTCAGATTAGACAGGTTAATCTGACCAATATATTTTGTCTCACCAGGTGTTAGATTAGAAAGGTTAATATATATTGTATCTCACATGATGTCAGATTATAAAGGTTAATCTGACCAATATATTGTCTCACCGGGTGTCAGATTAGAAAGGTTATTATATTGTATCTCACATGATGTCAGATTAGAAAGGATAATCTGACCAATATATTGTCTCACCGGGTGTCAGATTAGAAAGGTTAATATATTGTATCTCACATGATGTCAGATGAGACAGGTTAATATGACCAATATATTGTGTCCCACCAGGTGTCAGATTAGACAGGTTAATCTGAACAATATATTGTGTCTCACCAGGTGTCAGATTAGACAGGTTAATCTGACCAATATATTTTGTCTCACCAGGTGTCAGATTAGAAAGGTTAATCTGACAAATATATTGTGTCTCACCAGGTGTTAGATTAGAAAGGTTTATATATTGTATCTCACATGATGTCAGATTATAAAGGTTAATCTGACCAATATATTGTCTCACCAGGTGTTAGATTAGAAAGGTTAATATAATGTATCTCACATGATGTCAGATTAGAAAGGTCAATCTGACCAATATATTGTGTCTCACCAGGTGTCAGATTAGACAGGTTAATCTGAACAATATATTGTGTCTCACCAGGTGTCAGATTAGACAGGTTAATCTGAACAATATATTGTGTCTCACCAGGTGTCAGATTAGAAAGGTTAATCTGACAAATATATTGTGTCTCACCAGGTGTTAGATTAGAAAGGTTTATATATTGTATCTCACATGATGTCAGATTAGAAAGTTTAATCTGACCAATATATTGTCTCACCGGGTGTCAGATTAGAAAGGTTAATATATTGTATCTCACATGATGTCAGATTAGAAAGGTCAATCTGACCAATATATTGTGTCTCACCAGGTGTTAGATTAGAAAGGTTTATATATTGTATCTCACATGATGTCAGATTATAAAGGTTAATCTGACCAATATATTGTCTCACCGGGCGTCAGATTAGAAAGGTTAATATATTGTATCTCACATGATGTCAGATGAGACAGGTTAATATGACCAATATATTGTGTCCCACCAGGTGTCAGATTAGACAGGTTAATCTGAACAATATATTGTGTCTCACCAGGTGTCAGATTAGAAAGGTTAATCTGACAAATATATTGTGTCTCACCAGGTGTTAGATTAGAAAGGTTAATATATATTGTATCTCACATGATGTCAGATTATAAAGGTTAATCTGACCAATATATTGTCTCACCGGGCGTCAGATTAGAAAGGTTAATATATTGTATCTCACATGATGTCAGATGAGACAGGTTAATCTGACCAATATATTGTGTCCCACCAGGTGTCAGATTAGACAGGTTAATCTGACCAATATATTGTGTCTCACCAGGTGTCAGATTAGACAGGTTAATCTGACCAATATATTGTGTCTCACCAGGTGTCAGATTAGAAAGGTTAATCTGACAAATATATTGTGTCTCACTGGGTGTCAGATTTGACAGGTTTCACTGAATAATCAATGAGGATGTATCCCTGTTTTCCAATTGGTGGCACGTCACATATACAGAACACTTTTTCCACCTTTGACTACCTAATTTTTTGTTTGTAAAAATTGTTAGTTCTGTATTTAAATCTTTTACTTTTAACAAGGCTTTCAGTTGGCCCCTGACAAATAGAATATTCTGAGTAATTGCAGTTTTCTCCCCAGAATGTTTTGAAAGAAGCAGCATGGTAACTTTAGATTTACTATGAATATATAGCAGAGAAGATCTAGGATAGCAGCATGGCAAGAAATTATAGGAGCATGGTGCCATGCTGCAAAAACAGCCTGGGGAGAACACTGAATTGTGTCATATAGACCTTCCATTTAAAACCCAAGAGTCAAAGCTCATTTTGGGAAGTCAAAAACATACTCTCAAAGGTGTACTGAAAGCCTTGTTTGATACAAAAACACTTTACCGTATTTGTTAGAACATTTAGTATTTTGTTTGCTTTTTCCATGTTTTTTATTTGTTCGTTGAGAACTTTGTTGTGGTTACTGTTTAATTTACAGATGTGACACTCAGTGCGTTGAACGCTCCTGAAAGTGATGTTGACATTGAAGGTGATTCCTCATCCTCTAAAAAATTAGAGTTTGACTCAGGTATGGAATAGAATTATGCTAGAATTACAACTGCTATGTGACCACGAGGTTGTAAAACCTCCATAACCTAAAGTATTTATCAATAAATTAAGTAAATTCTTTGGCCAAAAACAATAACAATTGAAATAAAAAGAAAGAAAAAAGGAAATTCTAGACCTGGTACCTACTGACCAGCCTTACGTTGAAGTGATAAGGTATATATTTTTTTTTAAAGATTAAGGTAAGTTAAACTAGAAATAAAAGAAAACTGCCAACATGAGTGCTGTACCGTTAATGTAATAAACAGTTCATATCCAATGCCACAGGAAAATGAGATTACACCAGTGTTTTAACTTGATGATAGACCCATAGACATTAACACTGTAGGTCCATGGGAACCAGTTACCTCAAAGACCAAGTTGTCTGTGAAGTTTGATCCTAGGATGTGTATGGTTCGGTGATAAGTGTAGTAGTGACGAGAAAAACTTTACTATTAAGTTAATCTTCTTTATCATTTCCTTAATGTCATGATATCAATATAAATAATGTATATAAGTAAAATTCTCTTGGTCGAGGTCTGGTCTATGAATATTTCAGTATGTCTTTAGGAAATGTATGACAGAATATAGACGTATATATAACTTAAAAATAAAGAATAACTTCGAAATTCTGATAATAATTGATCATCATTAGGTTGACATTTTTTCTGTGGAACCTATTCCTCATACCTGTAACCAACAGTCCAGTGCATATTAAGAGATACTTATTATAACACAGATTGGGGATATCATTTATTTGTATTTATGTTATCATAAACAGATAGGGGTCCAGCCTATTGTTACATATCATCTGCTAAAATAGACGTTTTGTTAGCAGATGTTGTAACACTTCAACAAATTCTTTTTAAAACTGTTATAATGATTTTTTATGTTACAGATGTTGATTCCAGTATGCTGTGACTAAAGATACAAGGTTTCATCAATGCTATAACTTGCTTGTTAAAAGACTTTGTAAAGCAGTCTTCAGCTGACTAGTCGTCTCAAAGTCCAATTTTCCTTCTCATGTGTAATATCACGGAATTAGATTAGACTTCCTTAGTCCGTGGTAATATGTGTATGGACAAAAAAACACTGTTGAGAAAATCTTATTTTTTTTACCTCAAAGATTTTTATCACAATCGTCATAACCACCGATGTTGTCACATTTATCCATTTTTTTGGAAAATGTGTGTGTGTGTGTTTGTGTGTGTGAAGCTGTGTGTATATGTATGACTTTATGTGTGGTTTAAGAGAGTAAATATTGCTTGATTACTTCTGAGGTCATTTATTAAAACCAAGATCTTATAATGTCAGAGAGAAAATAAATAATTTTTGATTACCCCCCTTTCATTTCACATACTTTTCAAAAAAGATGTTTATCAAATATGATATGGAATATTAGAAATACAAAGACTGTTATAGCTATAAAAATTGTTTGATATCATAATGTTATTATCCTTCAACTTATGTATGAAGTAGATATGATGCTGAATGAATTCGGATGATTTTTACATTAAAAAAAATTGTGAAAATACATGCATACATTTTACTCATATCTAATTGTCATTAGTCATTAAGGTATTTTGTAACCAATTAAAATGGCTGAAAATTTCCCAGATGGCTGTGTGAAAGAATTTTTATAAAATTGGCAAAACAAATGCCCTGTAAGAAGCTAAGGGAGGTAACTCCATTGACTTGTGGGTGTACAAGGGAAGAGAGATGATCCTAGAGAGAGTGTGTATATAACAAGTTTTATGTTGGTAGGCAGCATCGATACAAGGCATTGCATTGTAAATTGTTTGTGTACATAATGTGTAGCTTTAAAGTTTTTACTGTAAGTTCAATTTTATATTTAAATGTTTTAGTAACAGCAGTCTTCATCTTGTTCATTGTAAAAAAGCATTCTCATTTCTTTTTGTAAATATGTAGTATAATTATCATTGTTGATATAAGTCCACTTCGGTATAAACCATGATGTGTTCCGTGCCACAGAGGTCTGTCATAATGTGTGAATTTTAAGAAATTGGCCATTTTCTAACTGCTGTATATATTCACAATTTAGAGGGATAAATTTCATTGTTAAAATATACATACAACATGTATTGATTTTTTAGGACTTTATGTCCCGGACCATAACTGATTCAGAAAATCATGTTCCTGATGTAATTCGTAAGAGCACATTTGATACATTGTTGGGCGGATAAGAAGAATTAAAATAGGTATATGTAACATCTCATCTATTCAGACGTCGGCCTGACACAGAGTAGTAATACCTCGACATAAGGCTTGACGGAAAATTCAATTCTCAGATTTGCTGTAAAACAAAACAAAATTATAGTGTTATGTTCCTCGCTTTATTTACCACCTCGTTTTCCCAAAAAATATTTGAAGGCTTTTTCTCTTCTTTTTTTTAACAAAGGAAGTTTCCCTCGATGTATTGCCAAACCCATCTTTAACACCAAAATTTCTCAAATGGTGACCACATACTAGAGAGCTCATCTACATGTTTATGTAAGACATTAGTATCCCTCTCCCTGAGAAAGACGAACTAAAGATTGGCTGTGTTAAACATATACCAGCAGTCAATCATCCAGTTATTTGATACCTGGTACCTCTAGTAGAATTTTCTCATCAAGGCCTTTACAAGAATATCCTAACCTCGAGATTTTTCAAGTGGATGGGGCAAGGTTGATGAGGATGACTTCTAGCATGTCTTAATTCCTTTTCTCTGTGATTGTAAACATGGTACTGTTCTTTATAGTAACACAATCTGCGTATAAAACAATGTCAAAGCTGACATGGATTAACAGGAAAACTTGATGCAGGTTTTTTGTGTGAGAATCTCAAAAAAATCAGGAAAGAGCTGTGATGTCCTTTTGTGTGTAAAGCAGATAATTGAACATTCAAAATCTTGTTATATAAATTGTTAAGTGATAAACTAGTGTGTTTTAACAAATTCAATAATTATGTTTCTGACTAGCTCATCTTCAAAAGGGGCAGAATTTTACTGTGAAAATTTGAGCAAATAGCTTGCATTGTTTGTAATGTGTTAATGAGTACCATACTGTGTATAGTGAAACCTGTCTTATCCGACATCTGAGTATTCTGAAAACCTATAATCCAACATGTTATATTTCTTATGAAAACTGCTATATATATAAAAGAATTGTGTATTTTGACCTTTAACCCTTTCACCCCTGTGTAACTTCAGTAGACTCTACTTTGCATTGGTCAGGAGGAGTTCATTATGGTCTGCAGGGGTGAAAGGGTTAAATATTCTCACAGGGTGTCAGATTTGTCAGGTTTCACTGAACTATGATTATGTCTGTTTTATTTGTGTAAAAATGATACAATAAAATGTAAGAAAGAAAAAAACTTGTCTTTATATGGTTTTGTGAAGAATTCCAACACATTTACATTCACCACTGAACATGTACTACAATATACATAAAGATAATATATAACTAATACAGAATTGATATAAATAATTTATTACTGTAACAACCAAGGAATATGAGGGGAAAATACTGCCTTACTGGCAAGACCCCGGGACTCACTCACTAGTTCAGCAACATCAATATCAGTTATGGTATTCATGAGATATCTTGCATAGAAGGTTAAGTCAAACGTTGGTATAGTGTAACCTTAGTTACCACTCAACCTTGATAGACAATCTTCAAAACCTAACGTCACGCTACCACAATTCATACACGGTTAGAAAATGGTTTGAATTGTACTTTAAAATTGAATTTGAGCATTTTCCTTTGACAATATAACAAAAGATATATTTATCAGCACTTCGCGATGACTTCAAAGTAAACATATCGGAAAACCAGTAAAAACGGTGCATGTCAACAAAATTTTTGAAGATTTTGAAGGGGTTAAATATAAGCATGTTTAAATGTTGATTTCTGGTCTTTCGAGTTAACATTCTATTTTCAAAAACAAATTACTTATAATTTAAACTTTTCTGAAAAGGAACCACCATAGTAAGTCTTTGTCAAGAATCAAGAAACATTCCAGATACAAGATCTGAATTTTTAAATATCGCTGAAAAACTGTCAAAATTGTACCAATTGTGGTTGTGTGACGTTAAGGTGTAGAAGTCTTATGTTATCCTACAAATCTGTGGACTGTCGTGAGATATCCTGTACACAATATTTACTATGAAAATACTAACAAACAATTATATATTCCTCTCCACTAAGCTGGGTGAATATTAATCATTCACAAAACAAAGAGTCCTAGAGGACCTGTATTGCTCATCTACATATTTCAGTAGATTCATAAAACAAGAGTCCAAATGGGCCCGTATCACTCATCTTGATATTTCAGCAGTTATTCTAAAATGTTCTCATTAATAATTACCTGAATATTCTCCAGAGGGGACAAAATCTTGAGGCTAAGTTTAATTACCATAATTGTATTTGTCAGTCATACGGATACCTAACAAGTATAATACGATTATTAGAGAAGTGACCCCAGACTTCAAAGCCATTCAATTTTATCGTTATTCTGCCGCACGATTCTTATGATGTACAACAAAGGATCAGACAAGTGTCCCGATATCCAGAAAGTGGTGCACACTGAGTCTTAACCTTTTGCCATGACAAATTCCAGGGGTGCAGGGAGTAGGTGAGTGTAACTCCTTGAGTATCGAGGATTGACTCCGGCTAGCACTTAAAGTCGACCATTGACCTCATTACTGTTATAAAGAAAAAGATTCACACAGCTAGTCTACATAACATACACAAGTATTAATATGACTAGTCCAAATGGTTCTTAGAATATTATTGTTTGAAGTTTTAAAAACATTTGACCCCTGTGACCTTGAAACTAGGTTAAGGTCATTTTAATGAGGAAACTATAGCACTCCATCCCAGGTACCTACTGGCCAAATAGCATGACATCGGGCCTTATGGAACTTGAAAATGAGATTGTTAAAGCTTTTAACCAATGTTGACCTTTGACCCCTTACTAGCACTTACAGTTGACTTTTGTCCTCATTACTGTAATGAAGACAATGATTCACACAGCTGGTCTGCATAACATACTAAAGTATCATGACTTGTCCAAATGGTTCTTAGGATATTTGTTGTTCGAAGTTTTTCATATATTTGACACCTGTGACCTTGAAACTAGGTCAAGGTCATGTTAATGACGAAACTTAATAGCACTCCATCCCAGGTACCTACTGGCCAAATAGCATGCCATCGGGCCTTATGGAACTTGAGAAGTAGATTGTTAAAGCTTTCAACCCATGTTGACCTGTGACCCGACTAGCACTTAAAGTTCAGCTTTAACCTCATTCTTGTAATTAAGAAAAAGATTTCCTTTACGGGTCTACATAACAAACCCAAGTATCATGACTCTAGTCCAAATAGTTCTTAGGAATATTGTTGTTTGAAATTTTTAACATATTTGACCCCTGTGACCATGAAAGTAGGTCAAGGTCATTTTAACGAAGAAAGTTAATAGCACTCCATCCCAGGTACCTACTGGCCAAATATCATAACCCTTGGTCCTCCAGTTCTGCAGAAGAAGTCGTTCAAAAGAAAAAGTTGATGGACGGACATATACATTTTCTTTTGTTGCAGAAGTTGTATTTGTAATGTTTTAAAGGGCTTCATAGGGACATTTTCACTTTTTTCTGTGTTGTCAAGAGTTTGCGGAAAACTTTCGACATGAAGTTTTCATTCCTTATGACGTTTTTTAACCACAGAAGAGTGACCATATGGGGCAATACAATGTTTATCTTGTTTGACTGTTTCATCTGAACAATATAAAAAAATGTATTTTTTTCGTATCCTCGGGGTTGTCTGTATCCTTGAAGCTGGAATTTATCATAGCAGGCTGAACATGAAATATTAGTTAAAGGATAAATCATTTGTTGAAGCAATTTAAGATGTAAATTTATAACGTTATAAAAATTGAATTTATATAGAACTTTCCCTTTTATCTGTATTCTTCATATGTTTCGATATACTTTAATTAGACAAGGATGCGATAACCTGAGTTCCCTTGGGTTGATTGAACTCAAACTTGGTACACATATTGCATACCAATATAGCTCGGACAAGTTCGCATTTCAGAAGTTAACGTGCATTTTTGGTGGAGTTATGCCCCCTTTTATTGCCAAATAAGGGCATTGTGTAGTAAATGCAAGAATTTTTTATTTTTTAATAAATTCCTTTCAAATTTTGTACGGTAATGGTAGAAGCAATAGTGTTCAACATGTATTACGGGTTTTTCTGCCGAGTTTCAACTTTCCACGTTTTGGCATATCTGTTTACGCGATAACTCAAGCCAAAATACTTCACTTACTAAAAGCGCTGAGCAGACGACACATCCACTCCCTGGAATTCTTGTTTAAATACATGCATCAAATCTTCATATTTCTGGTGAATGTTTTACGTAACAAGATGGTGGGCTCTGTGGTGGACTACCAGTCTCCTAGGTTGTCTGTAGCTTAGGAATTTATTGGGGCAAGGTTTACAAGAAGAATAAGTTTTTATCATTATTATAAATTATCTGCTATAGGAAAAGTTGTTACTGTTATGAAGGTCTGGTAAGTACCTTTTCGTTTTCGGTGTATTTCTATTGTCTTTTGGAAAGATTTATGCATGGTTGTTTTTATTCGATTAGCGCCTAGTACTACCGATAAATCCAAAATTGATGACATGATAAGAAAAAAAGTTTACCTTGTTCGGCAAATTCTAAACTAGCTCCTGAGGATTCACTTATTGGGTCATAACATGCAAACAATTAAAATCCCAACCCCTTAACCATGTACACAATTGCTGGGTGTGCGACGAATATACATATATTTAATATGCTGATTGCCCCAGGGATATATTAGTCCTAAGGTCATACCTTAGAAACTGCTGAGAGCCACCCTATGTATGTCTTGCTAAGAATGAAGAAATGAGTACAATCGTGCTACCAGGATCAGCTGCGTTGCTGGAGATTTATTTATAATATTTGAAGTAAGAACATCTTACCACGATAGTTTTAATATTTATGTGAGCGATAATACTCTCTGGGCCATTTGTTTCCTTTCTCGTGAACTTACTTTTTGCCTTTTCTTTCACTGGTGTTATGAATGGACAATATTTTAAAATACTTCGGAAGAAAGTACTGATTTTGACATTGTTTCTCTTCATGGTGTAGCATTGCCCATGTTCATGGTGTAGCATTGGTTGTCAGTATAATGTCATCATAGTCAATATCCAGGGGTTACGCTCACCTACGCTCACCACAGAGAGCGTAGTTGAGCGTAACCCCTGGATATCGAGGATGGAGATGTATATACTACGGCTTTATATGTCTCTTATCAGGTATAGAAATGTTTGTATAACAATTAACAGTATATCATTCAATATTATCTAATCATATTTTTTTCATTTTTTTTTTGTGCAATGTGGAAATACTCATGTTTATTAAATTAGGATGTAAATATTCACACGCGAATATTTATTTATAGATTTAAACACGATTCACATGATAAAATAGATTTAAGAACAATTGCCAACCTGAAAATCTCCACACTGCGATGAGTTTAAAGAGTCACAATGCAACATTTCCACTTTAGCAGTATCAATTTTCAATGATATATTCAAATGTGTGAATACACTGCATATGTGATCCAAGAAAGAATGAAAAAACAAGCTTTATTAAGTGTTATATCTCTCCCTAATGATTTAATCTGATGTGGTGATAGAAGTCATTAGCAACTTGTGTAATGCTTCTTATGCAACAGGTCCCTACAGGTAGACTAGGGCATAAGAATTATACCTAATGCCCCCATTGCATGATCGTAAGAGGCGACTTAATTTGGGATCTTATCTTTTCTCTTTTTTCTAATCAACTTTCTTCTTCCTAATGTCTCCCTTGACAATGTCTCACTTCTGGCCTTTAGTTCAGCGTACGCCCTTGTGAGGAAGGCTTTGGGTTGTCCCCTGCCAGAGACATACCGGAGACTGTAAAAATGGTAGTTTCTACTGCTGCTAAACGCTCAGCAATTTAGGAGTGGGACGACTGGTTCGCCCGTTGTCAGTATAATGTGACCGGGTGGGGTGTCCCGCTGGGTGTGTTCAGCAGTATGTTTTAGTGATGTAGCACTATAAAGTCGGCATCAGTTCCGCGCTATCACAAGGAGACGAACATGAACATATCGCAGCCTCCCAAAACACTTATGCATACACTACTGCCACGCATGCATCTTGCACACAGGGAAGGCCGTCCTTAAATGACCATAGCTGTTGACGTTAAACAATACTAAACCAAACCAAACCAATTCTTATAACATTTCGTATATCCATCTATCTATCTATCTATCTATCTATCTATCTGTTAACACATAGAAATCACACAGAGAGAGGTGTATCAAAAATATCACAACGACAGGTTATATGTAAATACTTTTATTTTGATAATAACAATCCTATGTATATATAACCAACACGCATCATATACCTAGCACTTATGAACCAACAGACATCAAGCAACAACGCCCAATGGCATAGAAAGTTGCAGCACTTTTCAGTAATTCTAACCAATACCTAAACCAACCAGGTATCTCTGTTGGAGAAAACCGTCATTGACTAGGGTATTCTTGGCTGCTATGAAAACTAAACAAGTTGTAATTTTCATTATTATGATAATTTAGTATATAGAATTACCAACCCTAAGAAGGGTTGTGATGGCAAGCACGGAAATATTCATTTGATTTGGTAATCATGGAGATAAATTGACTGGTAAATATGATGTATTATTGAACCAGTGTTTTCTTCTTCTTCAACTTTCAATCTGTATGATGTCTGACTATTCAATGTCTAATCCTTTCACCCCTATGTAAATTTATTAGACTCTACCATGCATTTATAGGAGAAGTCCAATATGGTCTACGGTGGTGAAAGGGCTAAGATATTTAACTTTTCTATTTGTTACTCACTTTTAGTGAAACAACACACAACAAACTACAACACACAATTTGTTTATACACGGCTGGGCAATATTCTGACGCAAATTCGCTCAATTATAAATTACACGGAGTTTGATTAAAAGGTTACACTACTACATAATTTTCATCACCAAATGACTGATGTTTTATGTATAATATTTTCGCACATGTACGAATCGTAAACAACAACAATTTCATCAAATAGTAACAAAGAATAAGCATATTTACATGCTAGGATTTTAACGTCCGTACACCCGAAAAACTTAACAAGACATGGAGTTAATATTTCTATTTAAATAATTCACCATGAAACGTCTTGCACCAATTCTGACGCCAGTGTAAAGTATGACATACGCTAGATGTAGACAGTTGTGGCACAAAGTTATCAGTTTGTTATAATCATCATTGCAGCATCGATCATCACTTTAAATGTCCAATCAACTAACTGACACCTGACCCTAATCTGACACACGCAATGATCTGAATTACGTGCAGAATCGGAATATCATACGTCACTTAAATGTCTAAATATTGAATGGAAATAAGGAATTGCACAACACAGATCAAGTTTTACCTTTGACTTTAGAAACATATGAAGTCTACCAGAAGGTACTGTATGTAGATCTATCCACAAAAGATTATCACAACAAAAGACAGAACAGTTAAATATGACATCTGTTTGTGATGTTTTTGTTTTCATGAACAATTTACTTTGAATTCATCACCACTTTAACTATCAATACAACTACTTAATCTCTGATGTAGGAGAGTCAAGATGATATAGATAACACCTGTTGTCGGTGCTAGTATATCTTCTGAAGCAAGAATGGCTTACCCTAGCTGTAATGACATAAAGCTGCTACGTTAGGAAAACATACACAATGCATAGGTGATTAACTAGTTAGATATGTATATAACATGGGTATATTATTAAATATGGATTACATTTGTCTTGCTTAGAAAATATAATTATATTGTTTACACATATTTAAAACATCAAATGTAAAATGCATTCTGTATACTTTTCTCCCTATCAAATGACCATCATCATCTATGATCCTTGTAACCGCACATTATTTACCCGACACACTTTCCCGCAATCTGTAGATGTCAGCTAAACACAACACTTCTAATTTTTAAATACACATGAAAAGTTATTTTTATTGCAAGTGAACTAAATGCAGCTAGTTTTTTTTTTTTATCAACAAATGACAGTTAAACTTCTTGTCAAACATCAAAAGGCCTTAGATGCATGGTGTTATCTCCCTTACCAGAAGTTGTGCAACGTGTTTCTATTCTATATATTTTTTGTTCCCTACCACACACAAGCCTATAATATCGTCCTTAACATTAAATGGCAACATCTTCTCGCCGATATCCTCACACACTGAAAGTCTAAAACTTAATTGACTAAGATTGGATTCCATCCAGATCGGTTAATAACAAAGGATCATTTTTAAGTAAAAAGTTAATGGACGAAACATTAGTAGTATAGGTACGGTAACCAAGTCTATATTCTTACTGCACTATGGTGTGCAGGGTATATGTACATGCCATTTAGAGTCACACGTGTTGTAAATGTGCTACAAGATTTTTCTCATTACTGATAGTACTGTCTACAATTACCCTTTTAAACAAATAACAATATAACGGGTACCCGAACATCTACGAAAGACTGACTGATCTGATCTGGTAAATGATGTGGGTATTCAACTAAGAGGTTAAAGGTCGAGTATATGGCATTATAGAAACACCAATAAAGTTAATTTTATAAAGGAAGAACTACTGACTTTGAATTAGAAATACCTGGCACCAGAAATAACAATTGCTTCATTTTTCAACACGAATTTGAAAGATAAAATGGGACTTTTGAGTAGAAAAAACACAGACAAAACAATCTTTAAAGCTAACTGTATAACACGTAATACTGAGGGATTATATCAAATAAAATTAATGAATACTTGTTAAAATATAGACATGTCAGAATCACAGATGTTGTACCAGACTCTGTAACACTGCTGACAACTTCTCATTAGTTTCACACACATATGTACATTAATATTTTGCATGCGAATGAGAAGTAAAATGAACAAAATCTAATGGATTTAACGTGTGTTCATTACTATTGCACCACCAAATTAATTTCAAAAACAGCCCTTTGTTATTCTTGGGTCACCCTTTTGACGCCCTGATTGGGATGGATTACAGCATACTGATTAAAATTATTTTTTTCAATTACAATGTTATTCATTCCAAGCCAATACTTTTATCAATATTTGATTGTTAGCGAGATGATGTTTCTTTGTTATCATTTTTTTCAATGAATTTATGTTATTAATTTTTCTCTAATCCAATATAACTAACTCGTACAAAAACTTATGTATTTAACATGTAATCATAGTATCTGCAATAGTCCCCTCAAGCTGTTTTTATCTCGATTTCATTTCGCACAAACTGAAATTGCTTTCATTACTCAAAAATATAGTTCATAATTCTCTCTAAGGAAACATAGAATGTCAAGTTACAATTGCATCGCCAGGATATCAATTAAGTTGATCAAACAAATTCCTCACGCACAACTCTTCAATCCTACCATCATGATTTATATAGTAGTGAAAAAACATGCAGCCAGTTGTCTAAATTAACCATACTGTCAACAAATATTCCCAATGTTTCAATCAATTAGTAAAGCAGCCGCACAATCTGGTGACATAAACATTAACAATGTCAACAATATATTATTTCTGATCATAAATTACAAAATCAATCTTTAGGTAACCGTAACTTGTATCTCTACATTATAAGGTAACTAATGTGATGTTGGTTCGCTAGCAGTAGTATCCTAAAGAATTCTGTCATAGGATACAGGGCATGACACTACCTAACCGTTATGTTGGGGGGGACGACTTTTACCACGGTTCTCTTACAAAGAAACTTTGCCTTACAAATGCTTTTATTACCCACTTTTGTTACTAGATAAACGTGGTTTTACTGACCTAGTAAATGACAGGAAAATGGAATGTTGAATGGTATATATCACAAATTCCTTTCATGTCTTGTTTAACTCATTCACCCCTGAAGACACATTTGAACTCCTCGAATTCAAAGTTTGGAACAGCTCATTTTGAAATTTCAGGGGTTAACAAGTTTAAATCTAGCAGCCTCCCGTTAGGCAGAAGATTAACCAAACAATGCACATGTCAGATCAATATACATTGCAGTTACCGTTCCTGATCCGACGTAAACATCTCAGGTCTGCTGAAGGTAGTATCATCCTACTGGTACCCTTTGAACGAACCCTATAGGAAGGCATTAAAAACTGTACCTATAACACTCTGCTATAGGTCAATATTAAGCATCTCCTAACACAAAGGTTTAACTTAACCGAGCACCAAATCTCTCAACCTTGCGTTTTAAGAGTCAACTTGCTCTAAATAACAAATAACAATCTAATATCTCTAAAGTATTCAAACAAAATATGCTCACTGCCAATACACTGTATATATACATTTACAAATATAGTGTAATAACATTTAAACAAAAAGATTTAAGTCAAACAAAAAAGGCATACTTTCACAAAGTAATTAGAGAGTTTATATAATTAATATAACTTTTAACATTATGATAAGTTAACATACAATAACCTGGGAAGCACCCACATAATATCGGGTCTTGCGACGTTGCATGAAGATAACTCGGATTGCTCACGTTTCAATATTTCCCAGAGGGAATTTGTCTAGATTAAAATTGTTTGCAGTAAAGTTTCAGGCAATAACATGAAGTATTTACTTCGGTTGAACTAATTGCTAGCGAAAGTGCAATATACATTTTGTTGCCACGGTTTATTTCCTCATTGGAAAATCGTTTCCATCATGATCAACTCAATTTATACAAGCATAGCTATCAAACGAAAACACCGAGTACATTGTAGTGTTTCATCCTAACGAAAATATTGTATTTGATTTATTTTAGGAAATAAATCTATTCCATCTCCCTATCTAGTTTGCCATTAAGTCTCGCCATCTACTGTATGGTATCAATACAATCAGACCGCTATTTATATCTAAATCGTAGTGATTACCACCTAGACAGGTGCTTCACCCATCGAGATTGTTACACCCGATCACACTAATGGAATACAAGCCATGTTTGGATGGTCTGTATCACACTAATGGAATACAAGCCATGTTTGGATGGTCTGTATCACACTAATGTGGTGATAACTATTCCATTCCCCATCTAAATGTATAGTTCTAAATATTTCATTTAGGTGTTGGTTTATTAAATTAAAATGGTGCTAAATAAAACTCTCAGATGTTATGCGCCACCCAAATGGTTCATAATCCTTCCAGATTATGTAGTCAGATTTATACCATACAGTTTGAAACTGTATTTGTTTGAAAATATCTAAAACCTCAGACATATCTAATCTTTGCCAGAGGTTTTCGATTTCGTCGAAAAAGGACTTGTGGATGGGGTTGCCTCGGAAACTGGGCCCTGCAAGGTCTCGTCCAACTTTTTCTGAATGTTCTCAAAGGCATCGGCTCCCAGGTAGTCCATTTGACCCTTTTCCCAATTGAGTTTGCGTTCCTGGTCACTGACGTCCTCCTGCTCAGAATGTCCTGCGTCAGCACCCTCACTCGGGTCCGTTTGGATAGTCATAGCGGCTAGATTAGCCACTAAACCTCCCTGTAATATAACAGAACAATGTGTTCATTTACTCACACAGATCACCTAGTAACAACCTTTATCATCTTAATATATATATGCGATTAATCTGTAACTCAAATTTCATTCCACATGCAAACATTTTTTTCTTCACTTTTTTTTTTTTTGCTTTTGTACATTGTATTACATTTAGCAAAGAAAAAACATCAATGATAACGGAACATGCAGTTTTATTATTGTTAAAATGTGCACAATAAGAGCATTACAAGTTTGATCCAAATGCTAACATTAACAATACAGTAATCAATCTTTCGAAAAAATATTATGTTCGGAATGCACTACCCGATATGATGCATGATGCTTGCTTATAAAATAGATAACTTTATCTGAAGTCACACGAATAGTACGACTACTTCCATTAACGACAATAAATCACAAATACGAAGGTTTGATGAAAATGATATGATGAAGTGTGAAGCAATAATTAGCTTGTGCAGAAATTGTTTAAAAGAAGTAAAAAGAGGGCAAAGATTAAAATTACAAGGGTTTTTACTGAATGCAACAAGATATCGGTCATGTTATAAATATTGACATTAAAGACCACTTTTCAATAATAAAAAAACCGCATTTAACTTCACATTTTTTCTGCATTAGTATGCAAAAAGAGAAAATTGTTTCCCCTATTTTTTAAAGAGCATAACATACCTGTTGAAAGGAAAATCACAACATAATTTAATAATAATAATTTATCAAGACTTTCAATAAAAGAACTGGATTAGTGCCGACAGAGTTCTAACGCGTCTTCTGCCACAACATAAAATATGTAACCAGTACCTACATCATATATATCGACACCATTTTGATGTGCCACCTCTCTTTATGTAATGTCGATCATCTGGTTACAATATTAAGTTATAATGAAGACTGAAGCAAAGCTAGACCTTTCAAGCTGGAACATCAAGAATTTTTAACTATTATTGAAGGCAACTTCTCAGATATTGTTATTGAGCGGAATTTTCCATAGATAATCATTCAAGTTATATAACTTGTTTCATAATTGTTGTAAAATAAATGAAGTTTATATTTTTAATCACACCTGGAAGTTTCCAATTTTTTTTTTATAAGGAAAAGCTCAAGAGTTAATAAATGAAGGGAACTGGGAAATCTGATAATGAATCAAGAGAAAGGATCTTTCTAAACCTATATTTGCTAAATAAAGCTCAATAGATCTAATGAGTGAATTAAGTGCCAAACCCTATTTCATTAGGGAACTACAAAGTGCTTATTAAAGGGCATTCATCATAGTTAATTATTGAAAGGAACATCCTACAGAATACTAATTTTGGGAAATCCTTGGAGCTCACTATATGAGGGAATTCCCCAGAGCAACTCAGAGCTCATAATATGAGGGAATTCCCCGGAGCAACTCAGAGCTCATTATATGAGGGAATTCCCCAGAGCAACTCAGAGCTCATTATATGAGGGAATTCTCCAGAGCAAGGTATCAGGCCATCCCCAAAAGATCATATCATGGGCGTCTAAAATACTTATGATATTAGAGGACTCCAAAGAATTTATCATTGAAGGGATATCCAAGACTTACTGCAGAAGGTAACTCAAGAAAGCTAATTAAAGAAGTGATCTCCTTAGCTTATATCTTGTTTTAAAAAGGGATTCTCAAAAGCTTATCAACCAAAGTCTTAATTATTTTACTCTCAAGAAGTTATTAATGGATTGAGCTTTCGAAGCTTAATTGAAGGATGGAGCTTTCAAAGCTCAATTGAAGAAAACTCCTAAAGCTCATTATCAAAGCTGACTTTCAAGAGCTAATCACAGACTTAGTAACTTCTTTATTAAGATAATTTAAATTGATGGCAAGGACCTACATTTTGAATATTTCTGGAAAAAATGACTGCAGTTATACACATATATCCACAGCGTTGTAAGCCTGTAGATCTTCACGTGTAAATACATAGAATATCCCTGTATTTGATGCCAAGTGTCAAGGTCACTGTGCATACTCCTGTCTAGCTATATATACACAACAAGGAGGTATCTGTCGTACTATCGTTTTCCGTAGTTGATGTGTACTGTGATGTTATCACTTGTATTATTCATACACTGCTATTTCCAAATCCTACTGCTTGTGCAAATCCTGTAATGGCATATGCAAATGAATCTGCGAATGGATGGTGAGATAGGTGTGATTGGATGTGTTGAGAAATTGTCTACATTTTTGTTACCAAAACAGACAATTATTTATCATCAATCAAGCATGCATATTCCTACATTAGCATCCATTCTTAGTATTCCTAATGAAAGAATTTAATCCCAATCGCTTTTCTTGATGAAACTCGTATTACTAATACTGGACCTCAAAGATACCACCATCTTCTTATTCCACACAATCATCCTCAATCTATTCGATGTCGACCCCCTTGGCCCAAAGGATTTTCAAGACCAAATTGTGCTACCATTCATTTACTGATACAAAATATCAGATATCAATCTAGACACACTGTTAGTAAAACACCATGACAACTGATCTGTTTCACTGGTAAACAGCTCACTGCATAAAAAGGGAAGGCAGCATCTTTAAAGTCCCATAAATAGAGTAATCTACTACTGGAATTGAATTATTTTGTAAAGGACACATAGAATGAATACTTGTGTAAGAATATGCAAACTAACGTTAATCTTAATTTATTAAAATGAAATGAAAGTAGGGATTTTATACTATTAAAGTATATATACAGAATTTTCAACTTTAGTAATATCAAAAGGATTTGCATGACCAAGATTAAATTCAACAATTCGTATCTTAAATGATAAACATTGAGGCGATGACGATGAATTATATGAGCTTAAAAAAAAGCGTGCATTAATTACTTAACTCGTCAATAAATTCAACACATCATAAATAAACTTTGCAAAATTGTTAGTAATTTGCATGATTGTGAATCATACTCACCGTTTCATCGCCTGTATTATGTGTTTCGGGAATATGACCACTTTGTTCAAGGGCAGGTAACTCTGTTTTATCATTACTAGTTTCACTGTTTTGTTTGTCTGTATTACTATCCCCCCAAGCTTTCATGACCTGTGAAATGTCATATGAGCCCGGAGGTGGGGTATCAGGGTTAACCACTGACATAGGGTTCTCAGCGAAGTGAGTCTCGGGCAGCGAGTACTGCCGGGGCACAATGTCAATATCAACAACTTGGGAGTCCGTTGTGTGGCCAGCATCCTGCTGAGTGTAGTGGACATCTACATTGGGAGGGACGAAGGGATACACAGACTGGACAGTAGTCGGGCCCGGAGCTTGTGTGATGTAATAAGTATGACCGTTTGCTGCCTGCCCGATGAACTGGATAGCTAAGTTCTGTAAACAAAGATGGATGTCCAGTTCTGCCTCTGGTCAAAGTTTTGACCAAGACATTCTGCAGCCATAGCTCTCAGTCTCATATATGGTCCAATGTCCAGGCCACAGAAAGGAGAACAAGGGTCAGGTAGGCAATGTTTCAGCCAAGGGGAGTAACTCAGCCAAGGGGAGTAACTCTAATATGGTTTGAAGGAGAGTTTATTGCATGTCTCTTTTGCAACTAAACATTATGCTTAATTGTGTTAGAGGGACTAATTCTTGCGACAGGTTTATTAGGTTATAAGTATTTGTATAGTTATTATATACCTCTCCCTCAAAGCAGTTATGTATACATACGTCAGTACCTCTTATCCCAAAAGCACAAGCCAAGGTATTATGGAAGGTTTGCCAGCAGTATATATAAATAGGCTAGGGCGTACACATATAAAGGCAGGTAACCAATGCTAATCCAACACAAAGTATAACACTGTAACACCCACTTCACAACAGCATCACAAGTTGCTATAGACTATAATACAAATTCGAACAAATATTTGGTTAAACAAAATAGTTCTGAGATGGCTGTAGCTTTCTTGTGTTGTTTCGGCACTGTGTCAGCTACATTTTGTACCAGTCCCATCAACACACTTTATTTCCTTTTTGAGTCGATCAGGCAGTGCTGCCCTCTAGTGGCAATTGTATGGTGCTATCCTTTAACATTTTTTTTTTTATTATTAAACTTTGTGGAGTTGTCCTTTAGTGTTAGCTGTATTTGTACTAATAATGCTGCCCCGTAGTATAACTGTATTACAGTAATAAATACCTGTTGCCATTAAAGATCCTTTTATAAGAAGATTAAGATGCTCAATTCTTATAATATGATGTATGGAAAGGTAAATGCCTATAGTTCTGGTTACATTCCAATTTGATTTCAAGCAGCATTAAATATTTCTAAACTAACTGTTGTATATTGCTGCTTCTACATTTACAAAGAAAATATAGTTTTCGTCCTATGAGCATGTCAACTTATATTTTATACACATCTGCTGCCCCCACCCCCTCCTCCAACAATTGTACATCTGGTGATACCCTCTATCAGCTGTACTTTTTAATATTAATACAAGGGCCCTCTGGTGTATGCTGCAGAATTAATGCCTGATGTGCTGCCATCTAGTGTCTATTTGGTGTCTGCAGAATTAACGCCTGAGGTGCTACCATCTAGTGTCTGTTTGGTGTCTGCAGTATTAACGCCTGAGGTGCTGCCATCTAGTGTCTGTTTGGTGTCTGCAGAATTAACGCCTGAGGTGCTGCCATCTAGTGTCTGTTTAGAGTCTGCAGAATTAACGCCTGATGTGCTGCCATCTAGTGTCTGTTTCACTAAGGCTATAGTTCTTACCCTCATTTAGTGCATACTGCATGTATATCTGATGAATTATCTCATTTTGTGACATATTTTCCTATCAAGTTATTCTGTACAATTAACACTGACTATTTCCATAATCAAGATTTCATCTGACTTAATATTGACTGAAAAATTTCAGAAGCTGTTGGCTAGCGCATAAAGGTTTAATCTCAATCACATATTATTAGTTTATTAACATGTTGTTTCTGTAAAAAAAACATTGCTAAAGAGATGTCTAGATATTTCAATTAACTTTGGAGCAAAACTTGAAAGCATTGAAGATATAATGGGAAAAAAATTACTATAATTAAAAGCGTGATTGAAGCTAATATACTGTGTATGGAGAATGAATTATATAAATAAATGACAACATCTATTTTCTGCAGTTTACCTCCGTACTCTCTGGACCACCAAACATCTGAAAGTAGTTATAATGTTCTCTGGTTATAATTTGAAGCAAGGGAGGAACTTGCTAGAAGTAATATTTTTTTGCTTTAATTCTTTCTAGCTAGTTTTCAATTCAAACACATCTAGTAAATCATCATAACATCTAAACATAAGATTTCAGTCAATAGTGCCACATGAATATATAAAACGTGGGAAGCTCTCCGAGTATATAGAGTATTTCCAAAGCTTTTGAATTTTTAAATAAGGCAAAGCTCTCACAAATCATGACAAATACAAACAAGAGGCTCATGGGCCTTAACAGTCACCTGACATACTTATACACAGAGTTGATTTTGTTTTTAACATGAACAGAAATATTATTCAAAGTGACAAAAAACAATAAAACCACCTTACTCAATATCTAGCATACAGATTTCAGACTAAAAAGGATTTGAAACTAGCACCTCTGATTCTTAACAAGGAAAATGAAGAAATTTTAGCACACTGACTCCTTTGAGCCCCACCCTACAGCCCTTGTGGGGTAGGGCTGGCCCAAAATTTTCAAAGTATCAAACTGTCAATTCTAGGTTATAATTCCAATCAAGTTATTAACATGTAATATTCAAAGTATCATTTGCCATTATAAACCATAATAAA